GCTGCTCGGCTGTTAGGATCAACGTCTCCACCTCCTCCAGCAGCCCGCCCTCCTGTAGCAGCTGGGGTCGGGCGGGGCGTGGGGGGCATAAACACAACGGGCCAGAACCCACGTGTGGGCTCGAAACTTCTGGGGGGCTGCTCCCTGCAGGTGCTGTTCCCAAATAATTATCTGGTCAAATGTGACGCGGTCCTTCAGGGACACTTGGCAGACTGGGCAGAGCCCGACGGGCTCACACACTTTGATCAGAAATCCCTTTTTTAGAAATTGCCTCTAAGGAAATGCCATGCGTGGGGATCAGACGCGCAATGGAAGGGGCTTGATGCCGCCGCTCCTCGAATTTTGGTGGATTTGGTGGGAGGCACCACCCCAACCACACCTTCTGGTGTGTTCCCTGTGGGCCACTGTCCAGACAGATGACCTGGCCCCAGGGTTCCAGGCAGGGTCTGGGCTCAGACTGTTGCTGGAGAGGTTGGAAGAAGGGGTGAAGGGGGCTGCCCCTCAGTGCCTTGGCCCTGCAGCTTGAGGTCACACCCTGGCTTCGGTGTCGGCAGCGGGTCCCACATAGGCCCGTGCCAGCCTTGCTGTGTGGGCACCCCTCTGCTGGGGTGGCTCTCAGCAGAGATGGTGAATATTGTGCTATCGAGAACACTAAACATGTTAGCTGTCAGGGAGACCATAAGTGATTCCTACTGTTTTCTTCATGTACCTTTGTATTTCTAGATTTCCTACAATAAACATGTATTAAATTACTATTCTAGTGAAAGAAATAAAAGATAGTAGACTTCCACTTCTAGACAGGATGGGGTGACAGGGGCTGAATGTACTTGTCTGCCCAAAACAACTAAATAAAAGACAAGATTATTGAAACCAGGGTCCTCAAGACAATGGGCATCAGACAAAAAGGGGCTGTGACCCGAGAAACGGGACACAGAAGCGATGAGCCCTCCGAGGGCCCAGCCGACCTCCCGGAGACAGTTTCCAGGTCACAGTGCTGGGAAGTGACGCAGGTGGAGCCAGGGGATCTCCTGAGTTGAGGACGCTGAGAGTCGGGGAGACCAAGGCAGCCACAGTTTGCAGGGCAGAGGACGAGAGAGGGGAGCTGCACTTAGCAAGAACCCTGGAGAGGTGCAGAGGGCCCCTGAGAGGTAGCAGAGGGCTGATCAGCAAATTGAATCTGTAGTTAAAAATCTTCCCCTCTCACATACAAAATAACCGTGGGCTTAGACGGCTTCACAGGGGAGTTCCAGCCAACATTTAAAAAAAGAGCTAACAGCAATTTTACATAAGCTCTTCCGGAAAGTTGAAAAGCAGGGATTTTTCTCGAATCCTTCTAGGAGGCCAGCATGATCCTGATATGAAAACCAAAGACATTACAGGAGAAGAAAATAGGAACAAGCATCCCCCTTCAGAAGTTCTAAACAAAAGCTTACTAAATTGAACCCAACAATGCATTAAAAAGATAATATATCACAACCAAGGGGAATTTTCCCCAATATGTCAGGATTGTCTTAAGGATCGAACACTTAAAAATCAATTTAAGTCACCACATTAACAAACTGAAAGAAAAACAATGTGATTCTCTCAATAGACACAGAAAAAGCATTCGACAAATTCCAACATGCATTCTCAAAACACTCTTGGCAAAGAGGAGTGGAAGCAGTTTCTCCAACCTGATAAAAGGCATCTCTGAACACCCCACAGCTGACATCATACCTACTCGTGAAAGACTGGGTGCTTCCCCTGAGACCAGGGACAAGTCAGGGACAGCACTCTCAATGGTCCCATTCAGCATTGTACAGGAGGTTCTAGTCAGGGCAATTAGGAAGGAAAAAAGAAAATGAAAGGCATCGTTATTGGAAAGAAAGGAATAATGCTGTCTTTGTTTGCAAAAGACAAGTTCATCTATGCAAAAAAAACAATCTAATGGAATCCACGAAACAAAAAGCTGCCAGAGCTGAGGAGTGAGCATCACAAGGTTGCAAGGTCAAGATCAGTGCCAAGGGGCCGGGCGCGGTGGCTCACGCCGGTAATCCCAGCACTTTGGGAGGCCGAGGCGGGCGGATCATGAGGTCAGGAGATCGAGACCATCCTGGCTAACACGGTGAAACCCCATCTCTACTAAAAAATACAAAAAAACTAGCCGGGCGAGGTGGCGGACACCTGTAGTCCCAGCTACTCGGGAGGCTGAGGCAGGAGAATGGCATAAACCTGGGAGGCAGAGCTTGCAGTGAGCCGAGATAGCGCCACTGCACTCCAGCCTCGGCGACAGAGTGAGACTCCGTCTCAAAAAAAAAAAAAAAAAAAAAAAAAAAAGATTAATGCCAAGAGTCACTGCATTTCCATACCCCAGCAACGGACAGCCAGAAATTAAAATGGAAAGAACAACACACTTGTAACAGCAAAAATATGAACTAGGGATAAATCTGACAGAAGGTGTGAAAGACTTGCACACATAAAACAAGAAAACATTGCTGAGAAAACATAAAGAGAACATAAGAAATGAAAACTTACACCATCTTCATGGGCTGAGACTCCATGTGTGTAAGATAGAAGTTATCCCCAAATTTTTGGAAGAGGATTTAACAAACCCATTCTAAAATTCATATAGAAAGGCAAAGGCCCTATAATAACCAGAACATCTTTGGAAGTTGAGAGCAAAATTGGAGGATTTACACTAGCTGATTTTTAGATTTTATAAAGCTATAGTAACCAACACAGTGTGTTTATATAATGCTCGGAAATACACACATGGACAACTGGTTTTTGACAAAAGACTCTCGGTGAAGAAAAGAGAGTCCAGGCCGGGCGCGGTGGCTCACGCCGGTAATCCCAGCACTTTGGGAGGCCGAGGCGGGCGGATCATGAGGTCAGGAGATCGAGACCATCCTGGCTAACACGGTGAAACCCCGTCTGTACTTAAAAAATACAAAAAACTAGCCGGGCGCAGTGGCGGCACCTGTAGTCCCAGCTACTCGGGAGGCTGAGGCAGGAGAATGGCGTAAACCCGGGAGGCGGAGCTTGCAGTGAGCTGAGATCCGGCCACTACACTCCAGCCTGGGCCTCAGAGCGAGACTCCGCCTCAAAAAAAAAAAAAAAAAAAAAAAAAAAGAGTCTTTTCAACAAGTGGTGCTAAAACAACTGAATAGCCATATAGAAGAAGGAATATTTATCTATACCCCAGGGCCATGTAAAAAATGAACTCAAAATGGATTATAGATCTAAACGTAAAACCTAAAACTATAAAACTTCCAGAAGAAAACATATGAGAAAATCTTTGTATGTTAGGCAGAAATTTATTAAATTCAACACCACAAAAAATGAATAAACTAGAACTCATCAAAATGTAAAACTTCTGCTCTGCAAAAGACATGTTTAAGAGAATTAAGAGATTGGCAACAAACTAGGAGAAAATATTTGCAAACGATGAATCTGATAAGACTCCAGCATGCATTAAAGAACTCCCAAAATTCAATAATAAGAAAACTAATAAAATTCAATAATAAGAAAACCATTAAAAAATGTGCAAAATATTTGAACAGAAAATACCTCAAAGAAGACATAGAAATTCAAATCAAAACACAAAAAAGATGATCAACATCATTAGCTACCAGGGAAATTTAAAACAACATGAAATGCCACTGTCCACGCATTAAAATGGCTAAAATGAAAAAGACTGGTAGTATCAAGTGTTGGTGACGATGTGGAGTGTCATGGTTGAACGTCTATGTACCTCCAAAATTCGTATACTGAAGCCTTAGCCCCCAGTGGGGTTGTATTGGAGATGGGCCTCTAAGGAAGCAATTAAGGTTAAATGAGGTCCTAGGGGTGGGGTCCTGATCCAATAGGATTAGTGTCCTTATGGGAAGAGACACCAGAGAGTTTGCTCTTTTCTCTGCATGTGTGCACTCGTGAAGGCCCTGTGAGGACATAGCAAGAAGGTGGCTGTCAACAAGCCAGGAGAGAGCCCTCACTGGGAATCAAATCTAGCAGCACCTTGGTCAGGGACTTCCAACCTCTAGACTGGTGGGAAAATTAATTTTTGTGGTTTAACCCCCCATTCTGTGGTATTTTGCTAGAGCAGCCTGAGCAGATCAAGATACCAAACAACTGAGGATGTGGAGAAACTGACACTGCTGGTGGGGATAGAAAATGGAACAGCCACTTTTAATAGCAGTTTGACAGTTTCTTAAAAAGTTAATGATATGCGTGCCATAGGATTCAGACCTTTGACCCTAAGTTTTTCATCAAGGGAAATGAAAGCATATATGTCCACACAAAGACTTGTCTACAAATACTCACAAATGTTCACAGCAGTTTTATTTGTAGTGGCCACGGACTAGAATCAATCCAAATATCCAGCAACAGGGCAACCGGTAAATGAATGGAATTCAAATAGGAATGCCACACTGATCCACACAGCAGCACAGGCGGATCTCAGAAGAATCATGCTGAGTGACAGAAGCCAGACCAAAAACAAACAAACAAACCAAAAAAACAACAACGAAAAACCATACTGGATGATTCCACTTACATAAGTTTCTAGAAAATGCAAACTAATCTATAGTGACAGAAACAGATCAGTGATTGCCTGGGGATGGGTTTACGCGGAGGGGCAGGAGGGGGATGGGTTTACACGGAGGGGCAGGAGGGGGATGGGTTTACGCGGAGGGGCAGGAGGGGGATGGGGTTATGTGGAGGGGCAGGAGGGGGATGGGGTTACGCGGAGGGGTAGGAGGGAGACGGGGTTGCATGGAGGGACAGGAGGGAATGTTGGGGGTGCACAGAGGGGCAGGAGGGGGTCGGGGTTGCATGTAGGGACAGGACGGGGACGGGGTTGCATGGAGGGACAGGAGGGAATGTTGGGGGTGCTGCACAGGTTCATTATCTTGATTGTGGTGATGGTTTCATAAGTACACATGTGTCAAAACTTGTCAAATTGCATGCTTTAAATGTGCGTTTCTTTCACATCAGTATTACCTCTGTTTTTAAAATTCTAGATGATGACAACTACAAAATGGCAAGACAAGGACGTCCAAAAAGCCTCATTGATAAAAGTAATGAGAACACTGGCAAAAATGATCAGAATCAGGTTTTTCAGACCTCTGGAAATTAGCCAAAGATTTGCAGTGAGGAATGAAATTCTGGTGAAAGCAATAGCCTGGCAGCCACTGGGGTGGAGAACCGAAGCTGAGCTCCCCCAAAGCCTCTTCCCAGAGAACTGCCATTGTCTGAGCTGCCTCTCTGTTCCATGGAAGACTCCACTTGCAGGGCTAACTTGCCTGATTGACTCGGAGCTTAATCAGTAGGAACAGCCATTTTCCCAGGGGTGTTTGCTAAAAAGAAGAAGAAAAGAAAAAGAACAAACAGGCAATTATTTAACATTGCAGGTGCCTGAGGCAGTGGGTAGCAGTTGGGGGGTGGGGGTGGGGGATAAATAGGCTAACAAAAATGTTTAAAAACAAAATCTGGGGGAACGAGACATCCGTAGGGAGATATGAAAAGCTCCTGCATATTCCTGGGAACCTCAAAGGCCACGGTCATGCCCAGGGTCCGTAAAGAAGACCATGTGCTCATCTCCCACTAATTGTGAGGCAGGCAGCGAAGGCTGAGGCAGAGTTGACAGCTGCCTGGCTGAGTGTTGACAGCACACCCCATCACTGCACGGAGCTCCTCAGCAAAGACCAAGAGACTCTTCAGTTCCAGACGCTTAAGGAAGTCTCTGCCCAATTATTCAATGGCCTCTAAGCTAAGTGAGCAGACACTTTAGTGGGCACGCATGATAGAGAATATAGACTCGACAGAATTTGTCCAGAAACCACTAAACAAACAACAGCAATCACAAGGAGAAACAACAACAATCTCTGGGAAGGGAAGAGAATTTGATTTCTAGAATTACAACATTCTATTATTTTAAATGTCCAGTTTTCAAAAAAGAGTTTTAGCGATATAGAAAGAAATTTTTAAAAGTCTCAAACATGGGGAAAAAAGCAAACAATAGAATCTGTCCCTGAGAAAGTTCAGAGATGACAGTTACTGGACAAAGACTTTAAATCAGTGGCTTTAAATATGTCCAAAGAACTAAAGGAAACTATGTATAAAGAGCTAAAAGAAAGTATGAGAACAGTGTATCACCAAGTAGAAAATACAACAAAGGGATGGAAAGTATTTCTTTAAAAAATTCTGGAGTTGGAAAGTACAATAACTCAAATGAATTTTTCATTGTAGGGGCTCACCAGAAATTTGAGCAGGCAGAAGAAAGAATCGACAAACTAGGAGATAGGTCAGCCTGTCCAGCTTGAGAAACAGAACAGCGACGACAACAACAGGAATGATGAAAAATGAACAGAACCTTCCGAGACCTCTGGGACACCATCACTTAGACAAAAACACACATCACAAAGTCCCATCAAGGAGAGGAGAGAGAGGAAAGGGAAGAAAGAATATTTGAAAAAATAACAGCCAACTTGACTTTGATGAAAACATTAATCTGCACACCCTAGATGCTCAACACACTCCAAGTAGAATGAACTCAGAGAGATCCACACCCAGACACATGATAACCAAGCTGTGAAAAGGGAAAAGCAGGCCGGGCGCGGTGGCTCAAGCCTGTAATCCCAGCACTTTGGGAGGCCGAGACGGGCGGATCACGAGGTCAGGAGATCGAGACCATCCTGGCTAACACGGTGAAACCCAGTCTCTACTAAAAAATACAAAAAACTAGCCGGGCGAGGTGGCGGGCGCCTGTAGTCCCAGCTACTCGGGAGGCTGAGGCAGGAGAATGGCGTAAACCCGGGAGGCGGAGCTTGCAGTGAGCTGAGATCCGGCAGCTGCACTCCAGCCTGGGTGACAGAGCCAGACTCCATCTCAAAAAAAAAAAAAAAAAAAAAAAAAAAAAAAGAAAAGGGAAAAGCAGAGATAATTCTAAAAATAGCAAGAGAGAAGGGACTCATCTCATACAAGGAATCCTAAATAAGATTAACAGATGACTTCTTATCAGAAATCATGAGGCCAGAAAGCAATGGGATGGCATATTCAAAGTGCTGAAAGGAAAAGACTGCCAACCAAGAATTGTACAATAGTATAGCTATCCTTCAGAAGTGAAGGAGAAATTAACACAAATAAACAACAAAATAAAATGATAAAATATAAATAAAATTATATAAATACAATGCATTATATATAAAATTATATATATTAAAATTCTAAATAGAAGTACAATTATGTATGTGTGTGTATATACATATTATATATCATTTTTTAAAACAGTTTTTAAACAAAATCTGAGATAATTCATCACTAGCAGACCAGACACTATAGGGAGGACTACAGGCTGAAATGTAAGGACACCAGACAGCCACTCACATCAACACGAAGAAATAAAAAACACTTATAAAGGTAACCATGGAGGTCAATATAGAAGATGGTATGAATATCATTTTAAATTTTAATCTTGTATGCTTAGACATAGAGTTACCGTATGTGTTAAGCTGTTTTTATGGAGCTATAAAGAAATACCTGAAACTGGGTGATTTCTAAGAAGAGGATTAACTGGCTCACAGTTCTGCCGGCTGTACAGGAAGCATAAGGGTTTCTTCCTCTGGGGAGGCCTCAGGAAGCTCCTACTCAAGGCAGAAGGTGAAGGGGGAGCAGGCGCGTCACGTGGTGAAAGCAGGAGCAGCAGGGTGGGGGAGGTGCCGCACATGTTTAAACACCAGATCTCCCAGGAACCCAGAGTGAGAGCTCACTCTTCACCAAGGGGATGGCTCAAACCATTCCTGAGGGAGCCACGCCCGTGACCTAAACACCTGCCACCAGGCCCCACCTCCAACAAGGGGGATTGCAATTCCACGTGAGACTTGGCAAGGATGTGCATTTAAACTATATCACCATAAAACCCGGGAAGTCTACTCCTAGGCTGATGCTCAAGACAACTGAAAACAGGTCCACACAAAACTTGTAAATCAATGTTGAGCACAGCATTATTCATCATAGCCAAAAGATGAAATCAGCCCCAATGTCCGTCAGCTGGTGGACAGGTTAAAAATGTGGCCCAGCCAGGTGCGGTGGCTCAAGCCTGTAATCCCAGCACTTTGGGAGGCCGAGACGGGTGGATCACGAGGTCAGGAGATCGAGACCATCCTGGCTAACATGGTGAAACCCCGTCTCTACTAAAAATACAAAAAACTAGCCGGGCGAGGTGGCGGGCGCCTGTAGTCCCAGCTACTCGGGAGGCTGAGGCAGGAGAATGGCGTGAACCCGGGAGGCAGAGCTTGCAGTGAGCTGAGATCCGGCCACTGCACTCCAGCCTGGGCGACAGAGCAAGACTCCGTCTCAAAAAAGAAAAAAAATAATGTGGCCCATCCATGCAACGAAATGTTGCCCAGCCTGGAGAGGCATGAAGTACTGATGGAGCTTCATGTGGAGCAACATGGAGGAGCCTCAGAAACACCCACCGTGCTGCTTCCTGGAAGAGGCAGACGCGGAAGGCCATGCACTCTACGACCTCATCCATGGGAAACGCACAGCGCCGAGGGCCGCCAGGGCCTGGGAGGAGGGGGCACAGGATGGCCGGCTATGGGGATGGTGTTTCTCCTGCGGGTGGTGGGCCGGATGACCCACTGCACCACCATGGGAGCGGACCGAATGCCGCTGAACTGCCTGGACTTTCAAGGGGTAAATTCCAAGGTATGTCAATTATATTTTAATTTAAAAACATTCTGTGAGAGATCATTTTTGTTAAAGATGCCATCTATGCTTAAAAGCCTGCACCAATGCCAGGCCATACCACTGTGGGTGCCACCACCTAGGGAGCAGTCCAGCTGTGAGCCCAGGCCAATGGGGCCAGCACGAATGGGAGGGGGCATGGAGGGGCCCACAGATGCTGCAGCCTGGCCTGGCCTGAGAGGAGCCACCTCTGTGCTGGGGCTCCCAGGCACCCACCTCCCGTGGCAACTCCTGGCTCCAGTCAGCTCCCGGCCCCTCCGTGGCTTCGGAGGCCGAATCTGCCTGCATCTGCCATTGATTTCTAATTCCAAGGATGTTGTTTACAGTGTAGTGAGATGGGTTTGTGTTTCTGCAGGAGATTCTAGAAGCCAGACCTCAGAGTGCGGGAGGTGCCAGGCCTCCTTCCCACCCGGGTAACCCGACCCCGAGCCTGGGGAAGCTGTCTTGGCACCTCCAGCCCTGACCTCTCCTTGTGGACCCGGCACAGCAGCCTCTGGGCACAGCCAGGACCCCCAGGGCTAGCCTCTCATTTCTCAAGGCAGCAACTGAGGCTCAGCCAGGCTTTCAAGGCCAGGGCAGAGCCAGCCTGGAACTCACGCCCCCAACTCCCAGCCATGGAACGTTGTATAAGAGGATATTCTGGCAGCCAACCCTGACATCTTTAAAAACGATCTTTCTGACCCTTAACTACTGAGGCAGCACAGTTCCTCGGCTGTCTGTCTCTGTGCTGGGCTGTGCCTGGCTTTGTCTGCGGCTGTCAGTCCTATTTTGTCCGCTAGGAACAAGGCCAGGGCAGCCTCTGTGATCCCCTCGAGCTGGCCAGTCTTCCCTGACCCTTCCCTCTCGACCCCTAGCCTTGCTGTAGTCGTGTCCATGGATACCTCCTGCCCACCCTGGTGGGCACCACTGTGTGGACACAGTGCTGGGAGGGGTGGGGGGGCACTGCATTGGGAACCAAAGGTCTGAGCTCTGCCCTGTCTTTGAGCCCTGGTTTTCCTCGTGTGCAGACAAGGGCTCCAGCCAGGTCCTCTCCAAAGTCTTGGCCCCCTGCCTGGCACAATCTCTGCCTGACAAACCTGGACCCCCGAAGTGCTCTCACTCCTTTGAGTCTCACTTTGTTAAGAGGGGGCTGCTGTTGTGGAGAATCCTGCACTCTTTGTCTTAGCTGACCCCACAGCAGGAAGGTGGGGAGGGCAGGGATCTTCTGCCCACTCTGAGGATGAGGAGACAGCCTGGAGGGGGTGGCTGGAAGGTCTGGCTCTGTCCCTTTCGCTCCTCAGCTCCCTCCCCAGCCCCCTCCCCAGCCCCCTCCTCAGTCTCTCCCAACCCCCTCCCCAGCCCCCTGCCCAGCTCCCTCAGCCCCTCCCCAGCCCCTGGATTTCAAGGCTGCATCACCTGGCCTCTTGCAAGGACAGACCAGCTGGCCGTGGTGCTGGCTCTTGGGCTTTCTGGAGCAGCTCCCTGGAGGCCTAAGGGGGCTGGGGCAGGGGCAGACACAGGCATTCGGCCCCCGTGCCCAGCCCCCTCACAGGAGAGTTAGCAGGGCAGACGACAGACGCCAGGAGGGGACTGACTATGGGCTCGGGACAACACTACCTGAAGGGGCAGCAGCCCCCAGGTGAGCAGGGCTGACTCAGTAGCTGCACGGGGCGCTGGGCCTCCAGCCGGGCTGCACTCACAGCTGGCTGTCCTGGCAAGCTCAGGGCTGAGACCAAGGTCTGGGGGTGCGGAGCAGCGCCTCCAGGCCTGTTGCCCCAACTCAGCATCTCGGGATCCACTGCCCCAGCACGGGTGCCCTCCCAGGACCTCCACACAGGGACATGGGCTGCCAGACCCACCCCCTGCTGCCATGGCTGGATCCAGGGTCACCTTCCTCTGCAGACTCTCGTGGGCTGGGGGGTGGGAGCATGAGGCTGGAGAATTCAGAAGACCCGGATTGCAGTTCTGGCTGGGCCGCAAATCAGCTGCGTCCTGGCAAGTGGGCCCCTGGTGGCCACATGCTCTCAGGCGTGTCCCGTGTCCATGGCTCCTGCCCAGACGCCCCTCCGCGTCTGTGCACCTCCCCACTGCTACCAGGCCCCAGGCTGAGCGAGAGCGGCCAAGGCCCAGCCTCAGAGCCCATGCTGCCTCCCGGCCTCTCCTGCCCCACAGGCCCTGGCCCAGGCTGGTGTCCACGCTCCTTGCTCAGAGCTCCGCCAGCCCGTCCTCCCTGGCTTCCTGCCACTCTCTCTGTGTGTGAGTCACCGGGCAGGAGCCACTGCGCCAAGAAAGGAAGCCAGTAGGGTGGAGAGTGCCCTCAGTGTGTCGTCAGGGGCACCGGCTTGGCCACCTACCTCCGGGCCCCCCGGACGCGTAATGGGGGCTTCTTCTCGGGGCGCACTTGGAGTCACAGACATCCTGGGGCAGAGGCGCCGTGAGTGCTTCCAGGGTCCAGGCTTCCACTCGCGCAGAAGCCCCGGGGCAGAGGTGCCGTGAGTGCTTCCGGGGTCCAGGCTTTGGCTGGTGCAGAAGCCTGGGCTGAGGCATTGCGGAAATCTGCAGGGTCTGGTTTTGGATCTGATTTACGTCTCCGCTCTGTCGCCAAAGTTTTGCCTTTTCCGGAATGTTACAGAAATGAGGTCTCACAGGATGCGGCCCGTCTGGCTTCCTTCACTTAGAAAACACGTTTAGGACTCGCCTGTGCTGTGAAGGGCCAGCGCGTGCCTTTTGCCCCCAAGATCCCGCAGTGTGGGGGGGCCACAGCTGTTTTATCCCCCCGCCGGTGACGGGCACCTGTGTTCTCTCCAGTGCGTAGGGGGTTACAAACACACCCTCTCTCCACATTCACTCCCAGGTTTTGTGTGAATACAGGTTTTCAGTTCATTCGGGTGCACGCCCAGGACAGGTTTCCGTTGAGCCCTGGCTCCTCTGACTGGAGGGTCCGCCTGGACAAAGGGGTGGTCACGGAGTGTGGGCAAGGAAGTGCAGCAGCCTCAGCGGCACAGTTTCCAGAATGCTCTTCAGAGGCGGCTGCTCGGAAAACCAGAAAACCGAGGTTCCACAGCACCCACCTGGTGAGCTGACCAACCGGGGCGGGGCCACAGACCCCAGCAGCGGGAAGGCCATGGTGGCCGCCCCTGGCTTTTCTCAGACAGCAGGGCACCTGTGCAGTTCTGTGGCCACAGCAGTCGCCCCACTGTCGTCCTCGGTTCCAGGGAACCAGGTGGCGTCAGGAAGAGCCCAGGCCACACCACAGAAGCAGGGTCCTCCTGATCCCCTCCCTGACCTCACTGCCTGGTTACCCCACGGGGATCGCCTGAGCAAGGAGCTCCCAGGTGAGGGCCAGAAGCACATCTCACTGTCCCCAGGCCCTGAACATGCGGCTTCCAGGTGAGGCTTGAAGGCCCTGCCCTGCAGACATGGGACAGGTGGGCTGCCGTGGGCAGGAGCACCAGGGAAGGAATAGGGCCCTGCAGACATGGGACAGGTGTTCCAGGCTGGAGACGCTGGTGTGGGCAGGAGGCGCCAGGGAAGGGACATGGCCCTGCAGACATGGGACAGGCGTTGCAGGCTGGAGAGGCTGGCGTGGACATGGCTAGGAGGCTCTGGGGAAGGGAAACGGCACAGAGGATGGCCCTGCCTGGTCAGTTCTGTTGTTCCTGGGGATAGAAGGAAAAGCAAATGGTGTCAGAAGACCAATCCAACTGCAGGGCCACGGGTCACTCCAAGGCCTTCCCCACAGGGAGGAAGAGTCCGTGAGAGCATGCAGGGCCTCCAGGCTTCCTGCAGCTGCTGTGACAGGAGCTCATTCTCTCACAGTCCTGAGACCAGAGTCCAAACCAGTGTCACTGGGTCAAAGTCAAGGTGCTGGCCACACGCCCCTGGAGGCCACAGGACGTGTCCTTCCTGCCTCCCCCAGCTCCTGGCGGCTGTCCGAGCTCCTTGGCTTGTGGCCACATCACTCAGCCCTTCAGGGTGGAGTCTTCCCCTCTCCCTGCTATGTCTCAGCTCTGAGTCAGCCGGATCCCTCTGCCTTCCCCTTGTAGGATGCTGGTGATGGTGGTTAGGGCCCTCCCAGGTAACCCAGGGAAATCTCTTTATTTTAAAATCCTTAATTTAATTGCATTTGCCATCCAGGGAACAGCGGCTCATCGCCTTCCTATTCACAGTTCCAGGGATGAGAAAGGGAATGTGTCTCTGGGGCACTTGCCCGCCTGGTGCACAGGCCAGAGCTCTTCTCATATTTCCCAGCTGGACGCCGTCTGTGGTGTGGGGAAGAGGACGGTTTTGCGAGTTTGGTAAGAAGGCATCACACATGAGACGCATCCATCCTCGTGTTTTTCTGATGAACGCTCGCGGACATTTCCGGTTGGTGATGGTGTCACCTGCGGACATGACTCATTTGTTCCTCGCCCTGGTGCCCTGGCCAGGGCCCCTAACACTGTGTAGTGGCGCCCGCGGGCCTCTGGGCCTTGTTTCTGCCCCTGAGAGGCACACAAGCGACTCACTGCCCGGCATGTGTGAGCTGACAGTGTGGACGGATGTTCACGCAAACTGGGAGGGCATCTCCTGAGAATGAATTTGTAAGTTTTTTTTTGTTGTTTTTGTTTTTGTTTTTTTTAAGCAGAACTCACTGGTGGAGCAGGAAGCCCCTTTGTTTGGGGAAGATCTCCAGAATCAGCCCTTTATGGGCACAAACATGAAATTAACACCCACTGTTTTTCACGGAGAAAACTGTAAAATGACTGTTGGCTTGTCTACAAATGTTTTAAGCCAGTGAGGTCTGCATGCTGCTTTGTATTTGTTGGACCATCAGTCTCCTAAGGGTCTCTATCCACAGACTGGGTGGGCCAGGGGTACAGTCGCCGGCCAGCATGGGAAGGACACGCAGCCACAGCGCTGACAGACCAGCTAACGAGCCCATGTTAATCTCCCGGGGGTGAGAGGAGGGGCCCGGCGGGCAGGGCTGGAGCCAGCACCCGGCTGTCGGCCCCACGCCATCCTGACTTTGCCTCACAGGCGCGCTGTGGTGCGGCTGCATCTGAGCTCCGGTTCCCAAAGGTGCTTGTCATGGGGCACACATTTCTGCAACATCCAGGTCACAGAGCCCTGAGCCAGGAGCCTGCTGCCAGCCTGGAGCACAGGCCTCCCGCAGGATTAAGGCCTGGGCAAGCCGGACGTGTCCCCGGCCCTCCTCATGCTGCAGACAGGGCGTCCCGAGGCCCCCCGTTCTCTTCACGGCATTGCAAGAAAACAGTTAGGGCTGCTTGGAGACAAGAAATTCCTTGGAAAACATCACAGCAAAGATTTATTTGCTATTGAACAGTTTGCAAATGTCGTAAAATAACTGGAAATCATCCTGGCCTGGAAAAAATTTCACACAACCGATCCACTAGCCAAGAACTTTCGGAAAAAGGAGACAGCAGAGGAAAGCCTGGGCCTTTCTCATCCAAAGATCCTCAGGTCCCAGAGGAGATCCAGCTGCGTATTGCTTTGGTTTTGGAAACACAGGTGCCTCCAATCACTCGTCCTCTGCGGCAGCAGCAGCTCCCTGACTCCGCAGGTGGGGATGGGCGGGGCTGGCCCACGAAACGAGCAGCCGTCAGGGCCCGCAGCCACGCTGCAGCTTCCCATCCATGCTCCACGCCCAGCATGGGTGCCTGGGAGGTGTTGTCCTCGCTGCGTTAATGCCCATCACACAGGAACTTGGGGGAGATGCCAGCATGGCACCCAGGGTGGGGTCCCTGTGGAGCAGCCTGTGTGGGGCACCCCCGTGACCCAGGAATGGACTGAGAGCCCACCAGGACAGGACCATGAGCACCGTCCCTCTTGGGTCGCCTGTGGAATTGGGGGTGTGGGTCTGGCCAGTGAAATCTGCAGCGCCAGGGTGCCCATCCAATGCCCGGCTGCCCGTGTGCAGTGTTTGCCAGCTACTGTGGTGTAAATATTCCTGCCTGGCTGATCTCAAAGCAAAGCACTGAGCTAAACTGTACACAGTGACTCTGACAGCACTGCACGGTGGCCCCAACACCTGTGCAGCATGGACTCCCTAAGGACTCAGCAGAGTGAGTTTCAGGGGTGCAACAACAGCTGTGAGGTCCCCAGGGCATCCTCCCGGCCACCTGCCACAAACATGGCCCAATCCTCCCTCCTGGAGGTCCCCGCCCCGGGTCCTGCAGAGCCACGTGGTGTCTGACACCGTCTCCCTTCCAGCTCTGCTCTGAGACCTGACCGTCCCTGGCCGCCAGGCATCTGCTGACTGAGAGCTCCAGCTCCGGAGAGGTGCCCAGTACCTGGTGAGCAGAGGGGTCTGAAGGAGCAGGTGCCTCCTCTTCGGGCACCTGTGGTCACTTCACAGTGAACGAGGCTCCAGCCGGGTGCCCTGAGAAGTGGCCAACACCCTACCCAGAAGAAGACGGCATAGCCACGGCCAACGTGGAGCTCTAACTCAGGGCTCTGGCCTCCAGCCCAGTCCTTTTCCTTGAGTAGGGACGACCCTCGCAGTGGCCTCTCCACGTTGCATGGGTGGGGAGCACGTGCGGTGAAGACAGCAGCCTGCAGGTGCGCACTACGCCTGAGGGCCTCGGCCGATGGAAAGCTCAATCATGAGTGAAAAAAAAGACAGTGTTTTGGAACATATAACAAGTCAGTGGGAAATTAATTTATCAAAAAGCAATTTAAAGCAGCCTTGCAAGAACATAGATCCGCACTGGCGAGGCCACTGCTCACCTGTGGGCTGCGTCTGTCCATCCACTCAGCAGATCCATGAGTCTCTGCCCAGCACTGTGCCCAGCCCAGGGGCACCGGCCTCCCGAGCTCATGGCCGGGGTGGGGGTCCTAACAGACGCATGTGGGCAGTGAAGGCCGAGGTGCTGGGGTGCCAGGCAGCCTTGCAGCGACCACAGCTCTGCTTGACCCTGCGGGGGGACGCTTGTGCGGAGCCGCTGAGTACCCAGGTGCTGGGTACCCAGGACTGGCCCCACAGCCAAGACGGTGCCGCACAGCCTTTTGTCAGGTTCCCGGGATCCACACAGGTGTGACCCCCAACCCCGCATGGAGCCCCAGAGCCCTAGAACCCTGGCTGGCAGAGAGAAAAGAGTGAAGGGTTCCTATTCCCCTTTTCTCTTCTGAGACCGGCAGGGCCCCCCGGGCTGCTGTCTTGTGAGCCATTGCTCTGCACAGGGCTTGCCTCAGGCGAGAGGCAGGCGGAACTGGCCTGGGAAGCAGCTCTGGCCATGCCTCCCCCACTGTCTTCAGGGAGCCAGGCCCGTGTTACCAGCCCTGTTCTCCTGGGAGAGGCGGGTGGCACACAGTGCCTTCTCCAAGAGGCTCCTGGCATGACACACAGAAGCTGCTCCCCCTGCGAAGCTCCCAGCCCAAGGCAAGGGGACGGGGCACCATCCCACCAGGTTCCCTGCCAAGGTGAGGGGACAGGGCACCATCCCACCAGGCTCCCTGCCCAAGGCCAGGGGATGGCATACCATCCCACCAGGCTCCCTGCCAAGCCCTCTGGAGCGTGGATCAAGGACTGTGGCGTGGGCAGAGGCTCCAAGGACATGTGCTCCAGGTTCCTGTTTCAGATGAGGGAAACTGAGGCCAGGGGAGTCCCCAAATCACTCCCTGCGGGGTCAGAGGTTGAGCTCAGCCCGGCCGAGCCTCTGCTGCTCGTGCTCTCTCTCTCCATCCCAGGTAGGCCGGAAGGTGCCTGACGGGGCCCTGGCTAGGGGACCCCTCCCACCCTCACAAGATGGGGACTGGGGCGCAGGAGGTCCAGAGGGGCAGGCCAGATTCTGGCTGCTGTCCCTGCCACCAGCCCACGGCCCGGTGCAGGGACAGCTCCACGTAGCGGGGACAGCAAGGGTGTGCAGGAGGCAGGTCAGGCTGTCTCCACTGCCACCACCACTGCCTGGAGGACGCCTCCACAGCACAGCACTCGTGGCCCTGTGTGGGGTAGAGGGAGGGCCAGGCATCAGACCAGCGAGGCTTCAGAGTCCACGCAGCATTGGCATCTGAACCAGCAGGACTGTGGGACCTGAGCAGCCACGTGGCATCGTCTGACACAGGCCTGGGCCTCCCCCGACACCCCTGGCCACTGTGGAGGCTGCAGTCCAGTGTGGCCTCTCAGGGGACAACTTCAGCCTGTTCTCCTCCTCCTGGCCGTGAGATGGGCCCAAGGCCTGGCCCGCACAGCTGGGTGTGCTGCCTCGAACCAAGCCTGTCACTGAGGGAGATGCAGGAGGCCCACACACAGCCAGAACGCTGCTGCCACTCACCCCCGTTGGCTGCTCCCCTGCAGGGCTGATGTGAGCAACTCCCATCACCAGGGGAGGAGGAAGCGGCCAGTGGCCCAGCTCCCAGAGCTGCAGGGACAGGGTGTGCGGGCACCGGGACAGTGGCTCCCTCCTGCCTGCTATGGAGGCAGCCCTGAGGCCTCAGCCTGGCCCCTGCTCTGCCACGCTGCTCAGCCCAGCAGCAGAAACAAGACTCAGGGCCCCAGCTCAGAGGGCAGGAATGGAGCTGGCATTGGACCAAGCACCTCCTGTTCCCAGCTGCTCAAGGCTGAGCAAATCACAGCTCTGAACAACTCTGACCCTTGACACCCACCCTCCTGCTGGGGCACCACAACTCCCAGGGCACCCACCTTCCTCTCCAGCATCCCTGCCTTCCTCCCAGGGAACCCATCTTCCTCCAGGGACACCCGGGTGCCTTCCTCCCAGGGCATCCACCTTCTTCCAAGGGCACCTACTTTCCTCCTAGGGCACCCACCTTCCTCCGGGGGTACCCACTATCCTCCCGGAGTACCCCATCTTCCTCCCATGGCACCCACCCCATCTTCCTCCCAGGGGCATGAGGTTCCTGGGGAGCTGTGTCTGTAGGGGCAGCATGTCCAGCCTGTGTCCAGTCCTGGGCAGGGAGTCTCACAACGGCCTCCAGACGCACCTGCACCTGCCCAGCCAGGGTAGCCTTGACCAGGCAGTGCAAACACCAGGGCCTGGCCTCTCCCACATGGGGTCATCTGCTCACCCAGGGAGGGCTCAAGACTCACCTCAGCCCCTTCCTCCAGCCACAGGGAACAGGGGACCAGGGCAGCCTCCAGAGCAGTCCTCAGGGTGCAGATGGCTGCAGAGCCCCCAGACTAGCCCCAGCCCCAGCCCCAGGCTCCTGGGCCATGCCCAGAAGGGACCCTCCCGCTCAGGGCTGGAGATGCCTGGCCTGGCACCAGCTACTCAGCCTTCTCCAAAGCGCTTTAAAAAAAACACCCAGCAGCAGCACCTCATCCTCGGGGCACCCGCAAAGCTGAAGATGCAGACAAAAAACACAGTGAGACTCCTGGCGGTGACAGGGCTGAGCTCGTGCCCTGTGAGCTCTTTCCCAGGTTACAGAGCTGAAAGGAGCCCAGGGACCTGGAGGAGGCTGTGCCAACCCCTGCCTGATGGCTGGAGGTTGAGGGCCTGGCAGCGGCTGGCCTGCCCACGGGCACTCAGACCCACAGCCGGCGGCTCCTGGAGCAGGCCAGGGAGGCAGCGAAGCCCCTTGTGGGGTCTGTTTCTTGCTTCCCCCAGAGCCACTCTGGGATCTTTTTGATACGCCCTTGGATGCCCTTGTTCAGTGAGGGGGGCAGGCAGGGGCAGGTGGAACAGACCTCACCACTGAGTGGCTCCCATAACTCCTCCCCAGCCTCCCGAGGACCTTAGAGGGGGACCCTTTCTCTCCCCCGCATCTTGGCCAAGGGGTCCTGCACTGGAGCTGGGGCCTTGGTCAGACTCCAGGGCCCTGAAAGTCTCTTCCTTCCCCACGGAGGCTGGGAGAGGAGGCGGGTGGGCCTGGAGGCTCAGGTCAGGCTGCTGCTGGGCACCTCAATGGCTCTGCACCTACCTGCCCATGGTGTCAGCTGCTTTGCCGCTGCGTCCCCAGGTCACACCGGGAACCCCATGTGGCCGCCCCCATGCGTCTTTCCCAGCATGGGGCCCCAGCGGATGGTGGGCTGGGACGCTGTCTTCGGCTCCTGTTCCACAGCTCGCCCGAGCCGGCAAGGGCTGCAGACTCAGCTGACAGACCAAGCTTGCCAGAATCACTGGTCTCGTGCAAAGCCAACACCCAACTCCGATGGGCAGCAAAGCGCCGCAGGCACAGAGCCTTCTTTCATCTCCACAGCAGGACCGAGTTTAAAAAGCAGATTTTCTACACAATGTCCTACGCGAGTCCCAAGAGAGCTCAGGCCACGACCTCCAGCTGCCTGCAGCCTGCATCTTCCTCTGGGAGGTTTCCCCCCTCACCCTGCCTCTGGCCCGGGCTTGAGGGGCGATGGAGGCAGGCTCCCCTGCAGCCGGGGGTTCTGGGAGCAGGTGCCCAAGGCAGAGGCCATGGCCTCTGGGCAGGCAGCAGCTTCGCCCCCACCAGAGCCTGCAGCCCTCATGGCATCCCACATTGCCCCAGTCTCTGCCTGGGCCAGGCCCTCAAGCTGCTGGCTGGGGTGCCCAAACCATGGAGGCAGTGGTTGAAGGCTGATGGCTCCTGGTGTCATTAAATACTCTGTTTTTACCTGCTCTGGGCCTCAGGAGACCAGCCTGGCACCAGAGGAGGGGATGGCAGAGCCCCAAGCTGAGCCAGGCTCCAGCCCACACCCACCAGCCCCAGGTCTGGCCACGGGCTGGGCCCTGGTGTGCAGACACCACTGGCCACTGCTCCAGGGCCTTTGCACAAGCCAGCTGCAGGCCCAGGTGGTCGTGGGGAGTGGGGCCGCAGCGGCCTCGTTTTCCTTCCCCTCTTGGGAGATGGCTGCTCCTCCCGGCTGTTTCCGGAAAGTGTGTTTGTTATTTGGCTCCTGGAAACACCATCTGATGAAACAGGCTCTGTTGGGTTGGCCTGCCAGGCAGAGGCTGTGGGCGCCCAGGAGTCCCACCACAAAGCAGGCGGCAGAGACCCGACGGCCGCACCCTGAAAGCTGGGACCTGGCACCTAAACGGGGAGACGGAAGAACGTGGAAAATTCCCTGAGAGCACATTGATGCTCGGCTTCCACGGGCACCAACTTGCTGCGGAATCCTGCTTTGCGGTCATCGTTCTTCGAGCATTCGGACGCCTCGGGCCCCAGAAATTCAAGAACAAGAAAGCTCTGTTTCATGTGGACACGCTCACACACGCACGCCTGCTCACACACACACACCTGCTCACACACACACACCTGCTCACACACCTGCTCCACCGCATACATGTGCACACACACGCTCACACACCTGCTCACACACACACACCTGCTCACACACCTGCTCACACACAACCTGCTCACACGCATACATGTGCACACACACACGCTCACACCCGGCATATACTCACGCACTCATGACACACACATGCTCATACACACGTGCTCACACCACGACACACGTGCTCACACGCGTGCACACGTGCTCACACACGACACACACGTGCTCACACGCGTGCTCACACGTGCACATGCACATTCACACACCCATGGCCAGTAGCCCCAGTCTCAGCATCATGTCCTCTATTTAGAAATATTGGCTAAACACCTAATAAATAACTGAACAGAAACGTAATCTTTAATGAAGACTCACAAACCAAAAGCCAGCTGGCAGTTCCATTTAGAACATCCATGAACAGAGCTGCATTTATAGGAAACCTTCTCCAACAGCGATGCTCCCATGTGTGACAGCCCCCCCTCCCAAACGTCCTTCCTTCCCCTTCACGCCTCCTCACAGCCCAGGGCCCTAGGGACACGGTGCCAAAGGACTGGATCTGGTGGGCAGGCCAAACCCGGACCACGGGCCACAGTACTGGGCAGGCGGGGCCCTCAGGGAGGGATGGGGCTCCCTGGGCCAGCCCTCTGCCAGCCGACCAAGACTCACCCTAGATGGTGCCCTCGACCTGTCCTCCCTCAGCAGCCCCATGACTGTAACATCCAGACCAGTTCGTGGCCCCTAGGAGGGGAAACTGAGTCCCAGCTCCAGAGTCCTCCCTCAGCTTCACCAGGTGCCCCATGGAGGAGACGGCCAGGGTTTGTCACCTGACAGGCTCACCAGAATCAGGACAGGTGGGGGGATGGTGCAGGTGGGGGGATGGTGCAGGTGGGGACAGGACAGGTGGGGACGGGGAAGGTGGGGACAGGACAGGTGGGGACGGGGCAGGTGGGGACAGGACAGGGGTAGACTCCAAAGCGAGGCTGGCAGCAGTGTGTCCCGGGGAGGCTAACAGTGGCCCTGGAGGCGTCAGGTCTCCTCCCAGGCCAGCAGCAGGGCCGTATGCTGGGAACAAGACCTTGAGGTGAGCAGGTGGGAAGGAGGTGGGTGGAGATGGTGGGCAGGACTGCCTGGAAGACTCCCCAGGAATGGCCATGTGTGTTGGGAGCACTGCTGGAAGGACGGTGTGACCAGGAGGAAGTCCCAGGGACGGGGTGAGGAACCGGAGCCCAGAGTCTGGGTGTGAAGAAGTCACCCTCAGCAGCCTGGGCCCATGGGCCCAGGGGGCATCAGGGAGGGGAAGGGAGATGGGGAGGGGGCTCAGGCCTGCCAGAAGCCAGGTCCTGGTGGGCAGCAGACGGCACGGCGCCTGGCAGCACTGAACGGGAGTGGGTGGGAGGACACGGAGCCAGGCCAGCCTCAGTGGCGGGGTCCTGGGACCCGTGTCCAGAGGCGAGGCCCACACAGCGGTGGAACTGGTCCTGCAGGTGCACGGCCACAGTCGGCAGGGGTGGGGGCTTTGGTGCCCTGGCTGCCCAAAGCTTGACGCTAACCTAGGGCCAACCAGACCCCACATTCAGGGCACACCCCACGGCGTATCAGACATCTATAGCTGTGTAGCAAATAACCCCAAAACTTAGCAGCTTAAAAAGGCCTCCACGTGTTAGCTCCCCCATTTCTGGGGCAGCGTGGCTGGTGGCTGCGGCTCAGGTGGCAGCCACAGGCAGTCCCACGTCCAGGACAGGGCTCACAGGGCTGTGGGGAGGCTGCAGCCCCTGACCACGTGGCACCCCGAGGCTGCCAAGTCTCCTCCAGGTGCCAGAAGCCACAGTCTAACCGCCTAGGTCTGGAAGTGGCCTCCCTTGTGCCTGCCGTGGGCTGTGGTCACACGGTCACCCTAAGACCACGTGGGCAGGGCTGCACCAAAAACGTCTACATGGGGTCAGGGCCTCCGGGCTGCCACAATGCCGGCTCCTGCAGTGCTGGCCACGTGCCCGGCAAGGAACCCTGTACACAGACCCTGCTCTGCCCATTCCCCAGGGGCCACGAGGCACACAGACCCCGCTCTGCTCACCCCTCAGGGGTCATGGCGCCCTCAACCTGCTGGGCCAGAGACGGTGGCCTCTGCCCTCCTCATATTGGCCGCTGGGAGACCATGAGGTGGTGGCAGCAGATGCCTGTGCGGAGGCGTGCTCAGTGCTCAGGCAGGGAAACGTGCACACACACACACACACACGCATACATGAGCTGCTTTGTGGGGAAGAGGAGCCCAGGGAGCATGACTCCTGACACCTTCCATGGCAGGCCCAGGGTCGGGGGTGCAGCAGGAACTGTGGCCTTGAACCCAGAGGCTCCGCCACATCTGGGGCTGCTCTCGCCAGCTGTGCAGCCTGGGTGACTCCATGGCTCCTGGTCGTGGGCCGTGCTCCATGCCTGGGGGGCCTGGCCTTCTGTGTCTCAGCCTCCCCTACCCTCCGCACAGCAGGCTAAGGACGCCTGATCCGTGGGACTCAGGGAGCTGAGTGGGATAATTTTTGGAAAGCACAGCCAGGGCCAGCATCAGTGAGGGCATGAGCTTCTGGCCGCCTCTGCCCTTCCCATTCACAGCTGCCTTGCTGGTGCCTGCCGTGGCCTGGAGACGCGGCTGTGGACGCTGTCTGCTTGCGGTTTTTCCCTTTTTTAGCCCAAGGCTGAGCGGTCCTTCCGGACTGAGGTGTGTGGAGCCTGGCTCTTGACTGGCAAGGGAGACGCTCTCCTAAAGCTCCTGGAATGTTACTGACGGCCGGGCTGGGATGGCGCTCACATTCTTCTAGGTGTGGATAGTGGAACAAAACCAAAATATTAGCACAAGGCTAAGTTTGTTTTACAGCATCCCGTAATATATGAGGTGCTTGTTTGGATTTTATCTAAACAACTTTCCCTGCACACCCAGCAGCTGCTGAGTTTCAGCTCCCGGCCCACGGATCCCCTGCGGCTGAGGCTGGGGATGGGGGCTCCAGAGGTCACTCCTCCCCTGGAAGACATACGTTGGCCTTGGGCCAGGGGACCCTCAGCGACGGGGTCACCCCAACGTACTGGAGGCTGTGGCTCTGCTTCCTCCTGGGGCTGAGCTGAGCAAGCTTTAGCTCTCGGGCCGAGTGCAAGGAGGGCAGGAGCGACGTCTCCGATGGTGCTGAGGTCTGCCCTGGGTGCAAGGGACCTGTTTTCAGCGCTACCGTGCGACCTGTGGATGCCCCAGGCCCCTGGACAATTGGTATCTGGGGTCCACACTCCTGGACAGGGCTGAGGAGGTGATGTCCCCAGACTTGCCCCAGCACAGCTGTGGAGGGCACCCCGGACACCCGCCCCGGCCTCAGGCTCCCACCCCAGCTGGCCCTGACATGGTGCATGTGACGCCCTCTCAGCCACGGCCATCCAGACCCCTGGGCTCCGGTGTCTTCCAAAAGCTCTGAGAAGCGCCCCCTTGGGGCAGCTGGGGCCCTGACTACCCTCCGACCCTCAGCTGGACTCCCTGTGGCCCAGTCCAGAAGGTTCTCCTCAGAACAGAGGGCAGATGAGGCAAGAGTCGGCTCTGAGCTCTGCCCTCCGGCACCAGCAGCGCTGTGAAGGCCCAGAGGGGGCGGGTCAGTGGTCCCCAGGGACCTCGGCCTCCGGGGAAGTGCAACAGAGGCCTCAAGTCCCCAGGCGCTCAGCTCATGTTGCCCTCGCTCCTCCAGGGCACAGCCCGAGCTGCAGGAGGGCAGATGCTCCGCCTCTCGGCCAGTGTCCGTAACACCCGTGTGGAGAAAACAGCAAAGGCCGGCGCGGGACGAAAGGATGTGAACGGTGTCACCAGCAGTGAGCCTGGGGGGACCAGCCCAACAGCCAGTGCTCCCAGACACCGGCCAACAGCAATGCCCCATCCTCACCACAAACGCCACTGTGACGCGCTGACAGTGGACGCAAATGCGTGACAGACAGCGAGTGCCAGTGTGACCGTCACGGCTGATGATGAGCACTGCACCCACACACCACGGAACCCGCAGGCCCAGGGCTCAGCTTCTGCTTGCAGGGTGCAGGCCAAGCCTCACCGTCCTACGTACACAGCAGCACGGGCACTTCAGGCCTCTCCAGCCTCCTCCATGTAGAGCCTGCCACCATCCGTGTTGCACAAGGGACAGGTGCTACACAGAGAGGCCACGTGCCTTATCCCGGGCTGCCAGCTCCAGAGAACGGTCCGGGGATGCCAGGGTCACCCAGCCCCAGGGCTGCTTCTGACCCTCCTGAGATGGATCCTCCAGGCAGAGAGGGGACACCATGGTCACCCGGCCCCAGGGCTGCTCCTGACCCTCCTGGGACGGATCCTCTGGGCAGAGACAGGGTGAATCACATTCCGGACGGTGGCTCCAGGTCAGAAAGCTGCCAGGTCACCCAGGTGCCATGCGAGCCACTCCCTGGGGACAGTTTTCGGCCTTGGGTTTATCACGGCGGCTGTTCTCCGTCTGCCAGGCCAAGCCCAGCTTTCATCTCCCATCGCACAACCCTCTGCTTCCTCGGGCTCTGGGCTTATCGTGGTTTTCTTTTCTACTGTCTGGAATTGAATGTTTAGTTCATCTATTTTGTATTCTCCTATTTATATTAAAAACATTTTAGATGAGAAGTTTTCCTCCCAGTGTGTTTCTGGCCACCTTCTGAGCGGCTTTGTGGGGAAGAGGAGCCCAGGGAGCATGACTCCTGACACCTTCCATGCTCTCGCCAGCTGTGCAGCTCCTCTCTGACCTCACAGAGGCTCTGGAGGGCATCGGCTGAGTGTCCAAGCACCTCTCACCTCAGTGCGACACAGGGTCTGTTCCCAGCCTTCCTGCGTGCCTGGGGGTGCCTCACGTGTGCATATCGCAGCTGCGGTGCACCGTTCCCAGGGGGCTGACCTCGGCTGCACGCTCACCCACCAGGGCGTGGAATCCCACAAACAGGGTTTCGTCAAACAGTGACAAGGAGACACGAGTAGACCCCACGGTAGGATGGGAGGAGCCTGTCTAGTGAGAAACTCAAGGGAACAACCTTGCCAGAGGCCCACAAACCCAGAGAGCACAGGGACTGGGCTCATCCTGGAATGTCAGGAGCAGGACAGTGGCCCGAACATCAGGACATCCAAGGGCCAGACCAGTGCTGGGACTCCCGGGAGTAGCAGGTAGTAGTGGGCAGCAGCCTCAAAGAACCCCAGGACCCCCACCCAGGGGGCAGTTCTGGGCAGGGACAAGGACGGACAGGACACCTGGTCAGTCCTGAGAAGCCACACAGAAGCCTTGCTCTCAGACAGGCCTCCCTCAGGCCTGGGCTGCCTGGCTCTGAGGCCCCAGCAAGGTTTGCAGTGCGGGGAGGGGACAAGTTAGGGGTCTTGACCTCTATGCGGCACCAGGTCGGGGAGCAGCAGGGCAGGCAGGGTGGGGTCCCACCTTGGAGGACCACCTGCCAAGGACGAGACAGGGGCAGGGAGGTGGCCGGCAAGCACGTCCCCCTCCCTACCAGCTGCAGCTTGGGTGACGCTGCTGAAAACCCGCAACCCCAAGGCCTCAGAGACACGACCTGCAGGACAGGCCTCTGTTCAGCCAGGCTAGACACCAGCCAGGAGGAAACCCCTGCTGCCCCGAAATATGAAATTGGAACAGAAGGTTACGGGCCAGTTCACTCACAGGCAGAGGACAACTCCAAAACGAGGCCCTGGCAGGCAAAGTACAGCCCAGCCCAGGAATTCCCGTGCCTGAGCTCGGACTTCAGAAACACAAGGCCGTGGGGCACACCTGCCCCCAGGAAAACCAACACACACCCAGTTTTCTCAAAGGGCACCGAGAGGGAAGTCAGTAAAAGCTCCTGATAAAAGCGTTGCAATGACAGGTTTCATTCCTACTTGACACAAGTGAGCGTATAAAAGCAAATGCCTACGTACTTGTTGAGAATGCTTGGGCTTGTCCCTAAAACCACACACACACACACACACACACACACGTGTGCACACCCTGGAGAGCCAGGGCGAGGCCGTGTGTCTTGACTTTCCAGGTGCAATGATGCTTGTCAGCAGGCTTTCCCCTGAGGACTTCAGGACACCCTGGGGCTTCCTCCCTTGGGCTGCAGGAAGGTCTAGGCCCCTCGGGTGCCCCGTCGGCAGGGGTCAGTGGCGTGTGCCCAGCTGCAGCGCCTCCTCTGGGTCCCACCTGCCTCGTCTAAATCTGGATGCCACCCCACCCCCCGAAGCTTGAGTGGGAAGTATGGGGCCCCCCGGCCTGAGCAGCCAGTGGTCAGCACGGTCACTGCCCTGGCCGCTGGCATCACCCCCAGGCAGGGCCTTGTCTGAGTGGACCCAAGTGCCCACTGGGCTCAGCTGTCCCCTGGCCTGAGTCCTTGGCCACTTCTCACTGGGCCCAGGGCAGCCAGGATGCTTCTGGGGAGGAGGAACATGACCCAGCATGGCGTCCCGGAGCCTGGGGTCCACGGGCTGGGTCCTAGGGATCCCAGAGCTCTGTGCCACCCTGAGCAGAGGCGGGCGCTGCCTTGTGGCTGCAGGCCTGGAGCCCCAACCCTCCCCGCGCACCAGGTCACAGAGGTTGGCTGACCCTGACCAGCAGCAGTGCCCATTGGAAAGGAGACACCCATGCATAGATACCTCCTGGTGGCACTTTCAGCAGTGTCCTGAGGGTCAGTCTGGCTGGGCTTGGCCATGGGCCCACTGCCCAGGGCAGGGAGGCCCAGGCTGGCTAGCTGTGTAAGGGTCCAGTGGAAACAGGTGGGGAGCAGCAGCCACCAAAGGTGGGGGGTGGGACCAAGGCAGCCCATCCATTACAGGGGCACAGAAGCCCCAGAACAGAGCTGCCAGGAGGGGCTCAGGGATTCACTCCAGCTCCCCTGTCTTATACAGTCGACTGAGGCCCATAGAGGGAGCACGACCTCCCTAAAGCCTCAGCCACCAAGTCTGAGGCCAAGCCAAGAGCAAATCACTCACTGGGCCTTGTGCTGGGGGCAGAGACCTCGTCCAGGGTCCTCTCTCCAGCAGGCTGCGATCGTGGCATGTGGTCAGCGGACACAGGAACCCAGGACCGCAGGCTGCAGAGCTGCCAACGGGAACAGAGAGGTCCCAGGGCTCCCTCCCAGCTCTGTGGAGGGCTCCCCTGAGTCCAGGCCTTCCTGAGGCTTCGATGGTATCCCCAGAGGCCAGGGATGTCCTGCTGGCATGGGTTTTGGCCACCCCTGCCCAGGCTGGCCTGGACCCCTGGCTGAGGTGCCCACTCTCTCCCAGAGGGGTGGGGGCATCTCCCAGGGGCACACTGGGGTGTAGGTGAGCGGCTGTCTTCTAACAGACACCAGGGTGTGCCTGTGTTTCTGCAGTAAACAGGGCACCCCATCCCTGCTTCTTGGGACAGGCACCCTCTCGCTCTAGAGTGCTCCAGCAGCACCAGACCACAAGGGCCTGACACAGGATCAGCCCCGGTACGCCTTTCACCCCCACCGCTCTGGACTTTGTTTCTCTCTGGAAAACGAGAGCTGCTGTCTGCAGGGCTGAGATTGTCTGTGACATGGGGCCCCTGCCCGAGCCCAGCCAGCCCCAGAGGATTTGCAAGCTGCTTTCCTGTCCCTGTCCATGGTCTGGTAACAGAGGACAGATACTTTCTCCGGATGGCAGGGAGCTTCCTGCCAGCTTCCCTGCTGCCTCCATGCTCGGTAGCTGTAAGCAAAAGTGCCAGCCTTGTGGGGCCCACAGCCTCATCTGGGAGACTGGGATGCAGACGTGACAGCTGGGGCTCTGGCAGCTGCTCTGGCATGAGAACAAGGGAAGGGTGGTGGCCCCTGGGCTACCGATGGCATCGCAGAGGCTGGGACTGCCTGTGCCCAGACTTCTCACTTTGAGATGGAAAGGCCCACCACGTTTTAAACATAACCTGCCAGGACTTGGGTCTTTTCTTAACAAGCAGCCTGCCATGAGACTAGGAGGCCAGCAGGCCCTGCTCATTCCCAGGAGCGGTGAGCCCGTCCCCGCCTGTTCCACGTGGGCCTGAGTTCTGCCTACCCCTGGGCCCCACCTGGCAGAGCTCATCCTAAAGCAGCAGAGTCAGGAGTGGGGAGCCTGGTCCCCGAGCACCTCCTGGCCGGAAGCTGCCTGCTGCCTGCCCAGCCTGGCCTCCACCCTCCTCAGTCCCCACTGGGGCTGTCTCTCCAGGGCCCAGGCCTGACCACCCTCCACTTGGAACTCTCCCACCTCCCACAGGTGCCCCTTTTCCACCTGGGAGACTTCAGGGCCCGCCCAAGGGGACATGGGACAGGGGACAGACTTCCTGTGGCCGTCCTATGCCCCTGTGGCTGAGCTCCAAGGGGGCAGGCTGGAGCAGGGATCGCAGCTATCGCACAAATGAGACAGAGCTCGTGGGCCCTGCCAGGGACAGGCTTCAGGCAGCGGGAGCCAGGCCCTGTGTGGGCAGGGGCAGTTTCGCCGGGGATGGAGGGGTCGTGGGGCAAAGGCCAGGTCCAGTCAAACCCCAGGCCACCCAGGAGCCATGCAGAGTCCCAGAGGGGAGAGACAGGAGGCTGCCCCCATCCCACAGGAGCTGCACAGACAGGCCCGGCCGCCTTCTCCAATTAAACATCAGGGTTAATTAGAGTCTTCCGGACCCAGGGGAGGGGACCGAGATGGAGTAATCACGGCTGTGCCAGGAAATCCAGAGCTAAGGCTGGGGGAAGTGGGGAGCATGCTGTCCACTGGGAAGGCGGGAAAGCCAGGGCTCTGCCACCCAGTAGGGGTGTTTCGGCCACGCCAGCTCTGGGCTGGAGCACACACAGGTCACACTCGGCTCAGCGGGGCCCTCAAGTCACCCGTCCTCACGACTGTGTGTGGTCACCACCACCATTGGGGCCGGTGGGGGATGCCAGAGCCCAAGAGGCCACAGGCTCAGCATGGCGGCTTCTCCTGAGACAGCAGGGTGGGGTGTTTGAGGGGGTATGTGGGGTGTGGGGGGCTGTGGGGGTGTGTGTGGGAGGGCACGAGTGTGGGGTATGGAGCGTGTGTGGGATGTGTATGTGGAGGGGGGCGAGTGTGGGGTGTGTGTCGGGGTGTATGGAGGGGTGTGTGTGTGGGGGGATGTGTGGAGTATGTGTGTGGGGTGTGTGTGGGGATATGTAAGGGGGAGGTGTGGGGGGGTGTGGGTGTGTGTGCAGTGTGTGTGGGATGTGTGTGTGGAGGGGTGCGAGTGTGGCGGGCGTGTGGAGGGGTGTATGGCGGGGTGTGTGGAGGGGTGTGTGGGGTATGGGGTGTGTGTAGGGGTGGGGGGTGTGTGTGGGAGGGCACTACAACAGTGTGGGGTATGGAGTTTTTTTGTGTGGGATGTGTATGGAGGGAAGCAGTGTGGGGTGTGTCGGGGTGTATGGAGGGTGTGTGTGGGGGATGTGTGGAGTATGTGTGGTGTGTGAAGTGGGGATATGTAAGGGGAGGTGTGGGGGGTGTGGTGTGTGTGTGCAGTGTGTGTGGGATGTGTGAGGTGCGAGTGTGGCGAAGGTGGAGGGGTGTATGGCGGTGGAGGGGTGTGTGGGGTATGGGGTGTGTGTAGGGTGTATGTGTGGGGTGGTGAGGGGTGTGGGTGTGTGGGGGTGTGTAGGGGGTAAATGGAGGTGTGTGTGGGGTGTGTGAAGGGGGTGAGTGTGGGGTATGGGGGTGTATGGGGTGTGTATGGGGGTGTGGGTGTGTGGGGGTATAGGACTGGTGTGGGGATGAGTGTGGGGTGGAGGGCATGTGTGTGGGGTGTATGAGGTGGTGGGGTGTGGGGTGTATGGGGTGTGGGATGAGGTGTGTGTGTGGGGTGTGTGAGGTGTGTGGGGTTGTGGGTATGGGGGGTGTGTGTAGGGGTGTATGGGGTGTAAGGAGGGGTGTGGGGTGTGGAGGGTATGTGTGTGGCTAGTAAGTAGTGTGTAGTATGGGGTGTATGGGGGTGTGGGGTGGAGGGGTATGTGTGTGGGGTGTGTGGAGGGGGACAAGAAGGGGGGGCATGGGGTGTGCAGGTGGGGTGTGGGGGTGTGGGGTGTAGGGAGGTGTGGGGGATGAGTGTGGGGTGGGGAGGGTATGTGTGTGGGTGTGTGGAGGGGGTATGTGTGTGGAGCTGTGGGGTATGGGGGTGTGAGGGGTGTATGTGGGTGTACAAGAGGGTGGTGTGTGGGGTGTAGGTGGGGGTGTGTGGGGTGGTGTGGGGAAGGTGGAGGTGGGTGTGTTGGGGGGTGTGAGTGTGCAAATCCCACCCCTGAACTTGGAGTTTGGGAGGGAGGGGCTCAAATGGAAAACATCCTGTCTCGGACCCTGCCCCCGGCCCCGTGACGCCTGGGGTGCCACTCCTCCCGGACACCGGAGTATGTGCCACAGTCCCCCTCACACAGACCGGAGCACGGTGGGAGGTTCAGCAAGTAAGACGGGGTCTCAGGTGGACGCTGACCTTGAGAATGGAGGGGACAGCCGGAAGCTCCGTGCTCCTGAACGTCAGCGCCCATTACCTGGCTGGCTGGGGAGGGAGGCTCTCTCCTCTCAGGCCTCAGTTTCCCCACTCAGGGCTCCAGGGCTTTTTGTCCTAAGTGGCTCGGGCCACCGGGAGATGAGGCCTGTGCTCCACGGCCTTGCAGGGACTCTCAGGCCCCAGGCGCCTCTGCATCTGTGTCACCAGGAAGAAGTATTTGGAATCAGAAAACATGTCATCACCGGTTTTCTCTGAGTAACATCCCACCAAACATTTTTAAATGAAAACTCCTTAATCTTCAGGAAGACTGAAACAACCCAGGAAGAGGCCTGTCGTTATCATCTTGGCCCACAGTATTTTAACATCTCTGGAAAAAACACTTTAATTCGGTCTGTTTGACTTTAAAAAAACAGAGCTTTCCATACAGACCCCAGGGTCTCAGCGCCAGGAGGCAGGACCTGGCATGGAAGTCCCAGGACGGCAACTTCAAAGGGGAAAAGGCAAGACCAGCATCCTGCCTCCCCGCCCGCCAGGGTGCACCCCGGCATCCTGGAAGCACTGGCTGATAGTAGCGCCCCTGGAAAACCCTGGTCACGGTGGCAGCTAAGAACCCACCAGGCTGGAGGGGCCGCCAGAGGCTGCAGGCAGACAAGGCCTGGGCGGCAGCCAGCACCCACCAGCGTCTCGGAGCAATGACAGTGGCTGCCGTCACCGGCTTTATCGCCACACAGGGAACATTCCAGAAGCAACACGCCTGGTGTTTGTACAACACTTGGCTTCCAAGCAGCACAGAACCCTGACTCACCAGCTTGGGGGCCACGGCTGTGCCTTGCCTCTGCCCGATGCGGCCTCAGCCACCACCCTCCCTCCCCACGCAAGACAAAGGTCAAAGACCTGATGTAACCTTCATGGACAAACTCAGGCTGGCGCAAGGGCGCTGTGGGGCCTGGACAAGCCAGGTGCAGGCCTCATCTAGACAAATCCCTCGTGTGGGACGCTCTCAGAGCCCAGCGATCCGGGCAGTGGAGCAAAGGACCCGAATGCAAGCCAGCCCTCAGGGCCAGCACAGGGTCCCGCCGCCTCCCACAGCAATGCCGCACGGAACACACCCCTTGCCGGGAGCTGACCCACCCACACGTCTGGGGTGATCCGGGTGGACGCCATCGCGCTTGCCCGCAGGGGAAGGTGGAATAGGCAGGCTGAGATGGACAGTTCAGGGAGAGGTCCACCAGCATGCTGGAGTCGGCTCTGTGTGCAGGGCCCGTCCAGGCCCCGCTGTCTCCTGTGGACACCACACGCAGGCTCTGTATGCAGGGCCCGTCCAGGCCCCGCTGTCTCCTGTGGACACCACACGCAGGCTCTGTGTGCAGGGCCCGTCCAGGCCCCGCTGTCTCCTGCCTCCCATTCGTTCGGTGACACTCATCTGCGCACAGTCCTGAAGCTGACCACACCGCACAGAGCAAAGACCCTGCTCTCAGGAGCTTTCCTTCCGATGAGGAAAGAAGGAAAACCAGGGCCCCAAAGTGTCCAGGAGCATCGTGGCCAGGCCAGGAGGGTGCGGACAAAGAAAGGCAGGGGCCGGGTACTTCTCTTTGAACTGGGAGATCAGACCCTGAGAAGGGGCCAGAGGTCCGGCTGGCAAGAGGAGCCGGCGTGGATGCCCCCAAGGGCCCTGGAACAGCCTCCACCTTCCTTCCCTCATGGTCCCATCCCATCCTCAGCCCACTCGTAGCCATCAGCAGCCACCCTACGGCCGCCCAGGCCCAATTCTGGCCATGAGGCCCACACCACCTCCGCAGCCATCACACCCACGGTGCTCAGCTCCAGCTGCAGGCCCCCTCCCACCTGCAGCAGGGGCATCTAAAACCCTGGTGCCCGAGGGTTTCGTCCACCCCCTAGATCGGAGATTTCCCAAAACTCACGTCCCCCAGAACCTCAGAGTATTTGGAACCAGTCAAGATAAGGCCACACGGGAGTAGAGAGGGCCCTAGCCCAACGTGGCCGGTGTCCTTATAGGACGTCACAGACACAGGGACGGGAGCGACGTGGCCACAAGCCAGGACGCCAAGGGCTGCTGGCATTTGTGGCACCAGCAGGAAGTGTCTGGAATCAGAAACACAAGTAATCACCAGCAGCCGGACAGGCAAAGAGCACCCTGCCCTGCAGGCCGAGGGAGCGCAGCTCTCCACACCCTGAGTGCAGACCACCGGCCTGCGGGACACAGACAATGTGCTGTTGTCTGACGCCCCTGCTGTGTGCCAGTTTGTCACGGCAGCTCCAGGAAAGGAACCGCTCAGCCAGCGAGGCTGGTCAGGGTGTGCGGGGCCTGGCCCGGAGCAGTGGGGATGGTCCCTGCTTGCATGAGGACCAGGGCAGCAGCTGGTGACAGACACACAGCTCCTGGGAACAGCGGCTGCTCACTCAGGGAGGGGCCTGAGAGGAAGGGGAGGAGGGCCGGGGCTTTCTTGGGGAAAGGCGGATCCAACAGCTGCTGGGTGTGGGCAGAAGCCAGGTGGGTGCTGTGAGGCGTTTCCTCAGCCCCCTCGGAGTGGCCACACTAAGTGCAGACTGAGGGCGGCCAGGGACAAAGGAGACCCTGGGCGCCTGGAAGGAGGACCTGGGCCTGCCCAGGGCTGGGGGCTGAGGACTGAGGACAGCCAGGGACAAAGGAGATCCCGGGCCCCTGGAAGGAAGACCCGGGCCTGCCCGGGGCTAAGGGAGGGTGACCCCCCAGGGCCTGCTGCTGTCCCAGCCAGGAGCCCTTCACTCTGGGCCTGGCATTTGCTGCTCATTTGCCCAAGACCCCATACCCCGGGCAACCAGACACTGCCCTTCCTGTGGGACAGGCGGCGGCGGCGGGGGGGGGGGGGCGCTCCTCCCACTGCCTCTCCTGTCTCCCACTGTGCCCCACAGCCCCCCATATGCCAACACTGGGTCTGGGGCTGAGGCACCCAGGATGTGCCCAGGCTGGGTCTGTGGGCCTCGAGCCCGGCGTCCACCATCCCAGCCCAGAGCTTCTCAAAGGGTCATGCAGGCCAGTGTCAGGCACCTCCAGGCCCCAGGAGGCTTTGACCTGCTGTGTTAACCCTTTAATTCTAAAAAAAACGCACCGAGGACCCCAGGGTCTAAAAGGCATGAAAGCCCAGTCAACTGTAGAACTTATTTAAATCGATGACTGGAGGATTCATGTTCCTTCTCCTGAAGCTCCTAAAGTCATCCTCTCTGACCTGCTGATGCAGGGGCTCTACCCCAGGTGTCTGTCCAGAGAACGCACATGCCCCGTCCTCTGCCTCGAGCCTCCCTCTCAATGGTGGCCGGGAGAACTCAGCTGACAGCCACGGCGAACCCCACACTTGGATGCTCTTCTGTCACGGGACGACCCCGTCCCAGCTGCCGCCATGGCTGAGGGTCAGGCTCTCTGCACCTGCAAAGAATGCTGGGGTGGAACCCGTGGGAATACCATCAAGGGCTACTTCCCTGGGACAATCTGCGTCCATCTCAGCCGATGGGACACCTGCTGCCACTCCTGCCTGTCGCTGTCCTTCCACAGTACCCTCCTCCACGCGACTCTCAGGCACCGCGAGGGGCTGCTCGCCCAGGGAGGAGTTAGAGGCCCCTGAGCTCGCAAGGATCCCTAGAAGAGGGGCTGCGAGCCACAACCAGACAGGAGTAATTTCAAAACCAGGAAGCAAGAAGGTTTTTAAATTTTTATTTTTTAGAGACAGGATCGCTCTGTCACCCAGGCTGGAGTGCCGTGGCGCAATCTTGGCTCACTATAGCCATTGCTTCCTAGGCTCAAGCAATCCTCCCACCTCAGCCTCCCCAGTAGCTAGAACTACAGGCATACACCACCACGCCTGGCTAATTTTTGTATTTTTTTCGTCGAGATGGGGTCTCACTATGTTGGCTGGTCTTGAACTCCTGGCCTCAAGTGATACACCTGCCTTGGCCTCCCAAAGTGCTGGGACTGCAGGTGTATGTCACTGCGCCTGGCCAGGTTTTTCACAAGAAACCCAGACCATGGGATGAGGATGTTGGAGAAAGTGGAAGCCGCCCCCGCCCGCCTCCCCACCACGCTGCCCTGCGCGCATCCCACAGACGTCGTTCCCAACACTTGCTCCACCACAAAAATGGTTTTGTTGCAAGCACTGGTTTGTGACCAGCTCCCCTGAAGCGAGAAGCCCGTTCTCTAAGGAGCTGGGGCTGGGGCTGGGCAGCCAAGCCGGCCCCACCCGAGGGAGTGTGGGATCTGCTGCCTGTGGCTCCTGTACGCCCATCTGTCCCATCATCGGGGCCTTGGAGGGTGTCCAGGCTGTCTCTGTGGATGCCGTGTCTGCTCGTGTCAGGGAAGGGTCAGGACACTGAACAGAAGGGATGCAGGCTCCAAGCTGTCTCGGCCACCCACTCGCCAGGAAGCCTTTGGTGGGGCTGCTGGGACTTTGAACCCTGAGCAGGCGGCAGGGCCGGGGAGGTTGGACCACGGGCGCTCACGACAAGAGGGGCCGTGCACACAGGGGCCACCCACATGCCCTGGAGCCAGAAGGCCATGCAGCCCCTGGGACTACCCCCACCCCAGGCAGCCTGGGAAGGCTAAGGGTGCTGGACCCCTGCCTGGGAGCTGAGAGTGGTCCTGCTCTGTACTTCCCAGACACCCCGAGTGGGGTGCACCACCACACCCAGCCTGCCCAGCCCTGCTGCAGGACATGGGCCAGCGAGGCCCCGCAGAGCACTGGGGTGGGGGGAGCAGGGGCAGGGGGAGCCCAGCTGGGCCTCAGGGGCCTGGGGACACACCACCCCCTTGCTTTCCACACCCTGAAAACAAGGACTGATCAGTCACTGATTCACAGTCCAACAAACCCTCAAATACCAGGGCTTCTAGCAACAAAGGAGGCCCTCTCCTGCTTCTGGGTCAGCAAGAGCTTCAGGGCTGGGCCCACTCCGCGTCTCCTCCCTGCAGAAGGACCCTCTGCTCTCTGCCCCCAGAGCAAGGCAGTGGGCTGCCTGGGTTTGGAGCAGCTGGGAAGGGCAGGGGCAATGGTTGGGGTTGGGGGCACAGCCCAGGGGGTGCATACATAGGCGAAGAGCAGTCTGGGCCTTGCCAGGGCCATCTGTGTCCCTGGTCACTGAGGGTGGCAAGGGAGACTGGAAGGGAAACAGACCCCCAGGTGGGGAGGGCCCCAAGCCAGCCTCCATGGCAGCCCCTGCAGGCCTCAGTGCTCCTGGATCCCACCAGGGCCGCAGCAGGAACCGAGGCTGAAGCAAATCAGGGTGGCTGGTGGCACAGCTGGGGCCACACCCAGGCACAATTCTCTCCCAGGAGGCTAGCTTGGGGGCACCGGTGCTGGTTCAGGGACAGATTTAGGGCCTCCACAACTACAGTCCCCACAAACCCTGTGCACGGCCCGCCCTGACTCGGCGTGGGGGCTGCGGCTGCCAGCGGAGGGATGTGGCTTGTCGTCCTGAGCAGAGCAGGGGCAGCTGTCCCAGGGTGGGCCCAGTCCTGTGAATCAGGGAGCAGCTCATGGGAACGGCCCTGGGGGTGCAGGGGAAGTTCACAGAGCCCTTTATTGAGTCCCACAACCGACCAGAGGGAAAGGCGTCCACCAGGCTCAGACCATGGTCCTCGAGGGGCTGGCGCTCTCTACCTGGCCCACACGTGTGTCCTGAGGAGTTGGGGCACGCCCACTGCCCTGGTCAGAGCTGGCTGCCACCTTCCAGCTGCATCTGCCGGGCCAGGGTCTGCCCGATGGCCACCAGGGGTCTGGCTCTGTAGGCCGGACTGGCCAGCAGCTCCCGAAACCGGGTCCTTTCTTCCTCACTGAAAGAATGGAGACCACAGATCAGCAGGCAGGAACCCCCAGGCCCCTCAGCACCCCCAGGATCCGACACAGCTCAGCCCCTCAACACCCCGGCATGTCGGACACCGGAATGAATGGCAGAGGCCTGGGGCCACCACTGGACTGAATGTCGGGGCCTTGGAAACTTCCAGCAGGAGGAGAGAGGCTGCCCCGGGCCCGCAGGGCCACATGCACCCCAGAGCCCTGGCAGTGCCCACTGTGGGGTGTGCTGTGGAGCCACATGCGTCCCAGAGCCCTGGCAGTGCCCACTGTGGGGTGTGCCGTGGAGGTGTCACACAGCCCTGGCAGTGCCCACTGTGGGGTGTGCCGTGGAGGTGTCACCTGGCCCTGGCAGTGCCCACTGTGGGGTGTGCCGTGGAACCACATGCGTCAGCTCCCTGCAGCCCACTGTGGGGTGTGCCGGGAGGTGTCACCTGGCTCTGGCAGCCTACTGTGGGGTGTGCCGTGGAACCACATGCGTCCCAGAGCTCTGGCAGTGCCTACTGTGGAGGCTGTGGAGGTGGTTACCCGCTCTGGCAGTGCCTCCACTGTGTGTGCCGTGAGGTGCTGGCCCGGCCTCTCTGGCAGCCCAGACTGTGGGGTGTGCCGTGGAGGTAACACCCGCTTCTGGCAGTGCCTCCACTGTGGGGTGTGCCAGAGGTGTCATCTGCCTGGCAGTGCCTATCAGGTGTGCTGTGGAGGTGTCACTCCGCCTGGCAGTGCCCACTGTGGGTGTGCCGTGAGGTGCTACCCGGCCCTGGCAGCTTCCACTGTGGGTGTGCCGTGGAACCACATGTCCCAGAGCTCTGGCAGTGCCTGTGCCCACTGTGGGGTGTGCCGTGGAGGTGTCACCCGGCCCTGGCAGCAAGTCTGGGGCTGATGGGGCTGCTGCGAAGGCTGAGAAATGGGACGGCAACTCACAAGCCTTGCAGACCACTCCTTACATAAGAGACGGCTCCCTCCACGGGCGACCAAAATAGACGCACACGGAGGAGAGCCGAGAGCCGGAGAGTCTGAGCTGGCACAGGCCTGCAGCAGAGGAGGGCACGGCAGCCCCAGATGGGTGCCACGGCGACGACCCAGCATAGCACCAGCTCACCCCAGTTGCCACCCAGCCTGGCAGCCACACAGCTTCTGCTCTAAACACAGAGCAGCTGCCAGCATCCCAGAGGGGTGCCCGGTGGAACACAAAGGTGACATGGGTCCCACCTCAGGCACAGAAGCCTCGGGGGCAGCTAACAAGGCTCCTTCACACCCCACTGGATGACCGCCTGGGCAGGGTGCCCACACACCAGAGCCACCGAGGACAGCGGGCCTGGGGCCATCTCCACAGCAGGAGGCGGTCAGGGCTCTGCTAGTCACTGACCACCGCCGCCTCCTGCCACTGCCACCCTGGCCCCAGCATGGCAGCTGGGACGCTCCCCGTAAAGTCAGGGTGAAATGCCTCAGTCACAGCCTGGACATCACTAGTGAGCTCTGGGGCTATCAGGACCCAACAAGGCCCCACCAGGGGCAAATGAGGAGCCGAGGCCAGGGAAGGCCCAGGCCAGGTTCTTAGCACTATGGTCCATCGGGCAGAGTCCTGGGTCAGAGCTGGGGAGGAAAGAAGCCGTGACAGTGATGCTTGGAAGCGAAGCTGCACGGGGAGGGGTTGCAGGGGGAGCCTGTGCCTGTGCCCGAGTTTGGACACGGTATGGGACACGGGCTCAGAGCCCCCGGCACTGTGTGACTCCCACGCTGGGCCAGGCCTCCAGGTGCCATCCTGGACAACCGTAAACACAGACTCACAGACAGGGCCCTCCCACCTGAGAGAACAGCCCTTTCCTTGGTTTGGTACACATGGGAGCAGCTGTGGGGCACAGACCACCAGCCCCAGGAGCTACGAGGCTCACGCCCAACACGGAGCCCCCAGGGGAGCACAACCCAGGGAGGGGCCACTGTTGCTTCCCACTGGAATCTTGGGATTGAAGGATCCAAAGCCACTCAAACACCTGAGCCCTGTCCACACATGCCAGAAAGCACCACGGACATAGAACACGGAGTGAACAAGGGGCCTCCCGCTCTCCTCTCAGAAGCAACAAGAAACCAAACTTAATCTTTCATGAAACCGGGAGACCTGTTAACCTGAGCTGCTTCGAAATGCAGCGACCCCAAGGACGTGGGGGCACCAAGGGGTGCGGGCCACAGATAGTCTGCGAGAGGAAAACCTGTCGCCCTGTCCGGGCAGGGAGGGGCTCCCTGGACCAGGCTGTACACTGGGGAGAGGTGGAGAGGGAGGCCAGGCAGGAGGATGGCCACATGGAGAGGGCTCTGCCGTTTCCAAACTGTCTCCAGACAAGACTGACCTGGGAAGAACTCAGTTCATAAACAGAGAAGCACAAACCAAAGAGGACAAACATAAAGATCTACAGGAAGACCCCACTCCTGAGGAGGCCGAGGCAGGAGGATCACTGCAGCCCAGGAGGCGGAGGCTTCAGTGAGCCTTGATCACACCTCTGCACTCCAGCCTGGGCCACAGAGCAAGTAACTGTCTCTAAAAAATAAATACAAAAACATTTTAAAAAACTAAAAAAGACAGTTTACTATACTGTCTGTACTTCACTCTAGACACGACGAAGTGTCTAGAGTAAAAATGGATTAGCGAACACAAGATGGAAGACAGATTAGAGAGATGCAGTAAATGCGTGATCGGTGCCCCTGAAGAAAAGCCAAGACAATGAAGAAATCTTTGGAGCTACCATTCAACACCAGCTTCTAAACACAACCGTACTCACAAAACAGACTTCAGATTCTACACTGGAAGGGCACAATGGGTCTCAGTAGAAACTGACACGGAATGTTCCCTACTGAGAACTATCTTAGCAAAGTCAGTTCAAAAACAAAGAAAAAAAATCATTCCAGTAGCTTAACTAAAACCATCTTATAAGGGCGTAAAATGTCCCTCAGTGGAAACTGGAGCTGAGTCTACAAAGAAGCAAGAGAGCGTGGTCTGCAGGTTTTTGTACCCCAAGAGGACAACTGAGTACAAATTTCTGCAAATCACAGGGTCCTAGCCCTGCTAACTGGGGGCCGCAGTGCCCAGCCACAGAACCAAACATGACCATCCGGGTTTCAACCAGCCAGGGGAGGGCAGGGGCGGAGGGGGGGCTGCATCCACCCATCATTTTAGATCCATGACTCTCCTTGGAAGCCTTCCTGGGAGGCGGGCCTTGCCCCAGGGCCACAGGACCTGACTGCACTCACGAGCCCCCCTGGAGTGGATAGGCAGGAGCCAGTGGAGCAGCATGGAGGGGACTGGGGGGCACGGGGGCGGGGTTCTCAGCCGCTGAACCCCTGAGAGGGCAAGCCGAAGGCATTCAGGACCCCTGGAGAGGGCAGGATGGGGGCACACAGGAGCTGAACCCCTGGAGATGGTGGGCGGGGTGAGGGCACACAGGAGCTGAACCCTGGGGAGGTGGGTGGGGTGGGGGCACTCGGGAGCTGAACCCCGGGGAGGTGGGTGGGGTGGGGGCACGTGGGGTGGGTGGGGGGCATCGAGCTGAACTCCGGGAGGTGGGTGGGGTGAGGGGCACACAGGAGCTGAACCCCGGGGAGGTGGGCGGGGTGGGGGCACACAGGAGCTGAACCCTCGGGAGGTGGGCGTGGTGGGGTGGGGGCACTCACAGAAGCTGCTGTCTCTGGGCTGTGCTCATCCGGCTGAGCTCTGAGGGCCGGGGCTTGTTGCTCTCCCTCTCCCTGCTGTGGACACAGAGAAGCCACGTTAGTCAGCATCCAGCATCCCCTGAACACCTTCCCGTGGGCAGAGGTTGGCTCCTCCCTTCCTGGAGCAGACATCATGGTGGCCAGAGGTGACCAAACTGCTGCAGAACCACAAGTTCCATGCTGCTCTGTGGCCGTGGAGGCTGGACCCGGACAAGCAGTACAACTGCCTGACAGTCCTGTGACCGCCGCCTCCAAGCTGCTGCGCATGGAACCTGGTGACTCCTGCAGCTCCTCCTGGCTCCGTGGAGCATGGAGGGAGTAGTCAGCCAGGAACACATCTCGACACACAGCATCTCCACCCCACCTGCCTGGCCAGGGCAGGCTGCACAGACACCTCACGCTTCGGGCCAGATGACCCTGGCAGGCGGAGCCGGTCCCACTCCCACAGCACACGCCACTTCCCAGGAAGGCTGAGTCACCCACCCATGCCGACATGTCCCCAAGTCCTCTCTCTAGAAAGCGCATGCTATTCTACAGGGGGGAGCTGCACCTGCCCTCCTGATGACTGAACTTGGGACAGGGGCACAGACCCCCCGTAGATTCTGCCCTGCCTGCATCTGTGGGGGGGGGGGGGTACCAGCAAGCGCTGCGGTCCCCCATGGACAGGTGGAGGAACTGAGGAGGTTTCCTGAGTGCTGCTGGTTATTACCTTTAGTTCTGGGATCTCCAAACCACTAAGCTGGGCCCTGACTCAGGGCGCAGGCGGGCCAGGACACTCTCATCTCTGACGTCCACCCCAGGCAGGCTCTGGCTCCCTGCGGAAATTCTCACCCTCAGGTAACCGTAGGAATCTCCGGGAGCTCACTTGCACTCCCTGTGGTCAGCCGGCCAAGGCAGCTGCCCACCTGGCTGAACGTTCAGATGGGACAGCGACCTGGGCCTTGAAAGGAAGAGAAAACCTTCAGGGTCACACCAGGTGCCTTCCCAGACCTGCCGTCCACACAGTGAGGTGGGACCCAGAGGACGGTGGGAAGGTGGAGCCGCGGAGTCCTCAGGCCAGGAGACTTGATCTTTTATTCATGGATCTCTTAAAATATGAATGACAGACATTTTGTGTCTGCCCAAAATAGCCCTCAGCGCCCGCTTTCTTTTAACCCTGGCTCCGTGCTGACTTGGGGAAGGACTCAGTCCCCATCCCTTCCTGCTCACACCAGCAGATGACAGCCCCTCGCATCTCCCGTCCCCTCCGCCCGCTCAAAGCCACAGCTCCATTCATCCCAGGGGCTCTGCCAGGGCTGATGACATCTCCCCACGGCCTCTCCTGGGCCAGCCTTGCCCCGATGCTGAAGCTCTGGCCCTCTGGCCGGCTGACCCCCTCCCTGAGTCCACCCCTGAGCAGCAGCTCCCTCAGCGACTGTCCAGAGCTGTCCTGGGTCCCCACCCTTGCAGAAGCCGTCAGCGTGGGGCCCCTCCTCTAGGTGCACCCCTGGTGCCAGGGCAGAGCCCTCAGTGGGGACAGCCACGTGCTGGTGTCAGGAGACGAGAGCTCGGGCCCAGGGCACCCTTCCTGGTTGGGGAAACCTTGGGCCCCGGAGCTGCACCCTCACTTTAAGAGATGAAATAGCAGTGGGGGCAGGACCAAAGCCTCCCAAGGTCGCAAAGCAGAGGAGCTGCACCCAGGGTGGCTGCAGTGCCCACAGGGCCAGGCGCAGCACCTCCTTCTCCCCACTGCAGGGACCGCCCCCCACCCACACGTCCCACATGCCATCCTCCCAGGCGGGACGCACAGCCTCCCAGTGGGGTTTCCCGAGTTCAGGGTCCTGGGAACAGAGTGCTGGGCAGTCACTGTCACGGGCCAAGATGACCCGTAGGGCAGCACCGGCAGTGACGCGACTCCGAGAGGCCTAACAGCAGGAAGCCACGGAGGAATCCGAGCCTAGCTCTGCCCAGTGTGGACCCTCGCCAGTCCCCACGGCACTCCCTCCAGGCAGGAGCAGCGACATCACCACCATCCCCCTCCTGACAATCGCCCACAAAGCGCACACAGGAGGCCGAGGTCCAGAGCTTGGGGGGTCACCGGGGTCAAGTGTCGCTCAATGCCTGCTTCCCAGCCAGGAGCGACGTGATCCCCAAACACGGGCCCTGCGCTGGCCTCTGAGATTCCAGCTCTGCACCCCGCACCCCAGGAGCATGAGGCCCTCAGGGCAGGGTGCCAGGACAGGGGATTGAGAGGACTGAGGGTTGGGAGGGGCCGCAGGGCAAGGACCTTGGGTTCCACAAGGACAGCTCTGCCAGCCCAAGCCAGACATTCTCCCTGCTAGGTAGGAAGGGGAGAAGTGGGAGACAGGGCTCCAGGCTGGGAAGGAAGGGCTGTCCACCCTCCAGCCTCCCAGGCCACTGGTGCTCGCCTGCTGACCCCTCAAGCCCAGAGCACGTCAGAGTCCGTGAGTGGTGGTCAGTGGGGCAGAGACCTGCCTGCTGGGACCTAGGTGCAGTTCCCAGAGACATGGGGACCGCCCAGGCACGCCGAGCCCCAGATCCCAGGGTCTCACAACTCCTGCAATACCAGGGTCAGAGCTCCCTAGAGAAACAGCAGGACTGGCAGGAGATGTCCGAGATGCACCCGGGGCACCTGTTGGTGCTGGGCAGTGGGAAAGAGCTAAAAACACGATCCCCACCTCAATGGGGCTAAAGGGAGCCGGAGGCAACTGCAAGAACTCCCAGCGGCCAACGCTGGAACAGTTTCAGCACCAAAATCAAGTAGTGCTGGATGACAACCCCGAGTGTAAACTAAACATCCATCTGTCCAGACCAACACCAAGGCATGACCGATACATATTCGGGGAGGACAGACAAAGCTCCTTTCCCAGCAGAATTCCAAACAATCTTTGTCACTGCTCTGTCTTCCAGGAGGTGGAGCACAACCCCCACTCCAAGCCAGGGCTGCAGAGTGACTTCCTTCCAGAGAGGACAGCATGGAGAGGGGGCCTCAACCCAGCAGGGGTCAGCTCAGCCTCACAGTGGTCAGTCACGGTGACAGGGTGTGCCCGATACAGTGGAGTGACAGTGGGCCTCCACCTCTGGAGGCTTCATCCCCACACTTAGTCCCTTCCTTACCATGAGAAAAACATCAGACAGATCCCAGCTGAGGGACAGCTTCCTCAGAACAGTCAAGGTCACCAAAACCAAGAGGAGTCTGAGAAACTCACAGCCAAGAGGGGCCTAGGAGCCGTGACGTCTGACTGTCACCCGGGATCCTGGACGGATCCTGAGGCAGAAAGGGGTCGTTAGGGAAAAATGAAGGAAACATAAGGTATGGGCTTTAGTTAACTCTTACTTACAGCTCACTATTTCTCTTTTGATATTGGTTCCTTATGTGACAAACACACCACACTCACGTCACAGGAACAGCACGCGGGGATGCCGGAGCTCCACGGAGCTCTGGGTACCATCTTTGCCATTTTCTATGAGTCTAAAGCCTAAAATAGGGCCCATTCCAAGAGCTCCACCAGGGTCAGGAGGCACTGCTTCCTGAGCCGCATCTGAGGAGGGACGGGGACTTCCAGCGACAGGAGGCTCTCAGGGCTGAGAGCAGATGGGCCTTCCCGGTCCAGAGCCCCTGGCCCAGAGCCCCGCACAGAGGCGCAGACAGCCCCGAGGCAGGGGCACATCCTCCTCGGCCTGGGGGCTGGGTGTTTACACAGCTCTTTCCCCAAGCACATTTTTCAGATGAGAAAACTGAAAACAGGGAAATGATACTTGACGAGGGTCACATTTTTGTCCAAGAACCAGGAATGTTTGGTCGTCACATCTCCACTTCGGGCGGCCGCTCCTAGTCTGGACCCAGTGCTCCACCGTGGGATGCCGGCTGGAGCTGCCTGGGCCTGCAGCGCGTGACCCCCTGGCAGCTGGGCCATGAAAGGATGGACCCCAGGTTTGACATTGCACACAGCCCCTGCTTTCTTCTCAGATGGAAAGTTAGTAGGAGAAAGAAAATTTTTTTTAAAAAGGCAAAATAAGACCAGGTGCGGGGGCTCACGCCTGTAATCCCAGCACTTTGGGAGGCTGAGGCAGGCAGATCATAAGGTCAAGAGATCGAGACCATCCTGGCTAACACGGTGAAACCCCATCTCTACTAAAAACACAAAAAATTAGCCGGGCGCAGTGGCGGGCGTCTGTAGTCCCAGCTACTCAGGAGGCTGAGGCAGGAGAATGGCGTGAACCCAGAAGGCAGAGCTTGCAGTGAGCTGAGATCCAGCCACTGCACTCCAGCCTGGGCGACAGAGCGAGACTCCGTCTCAAAAAGAAAGGAAAGGAAAGAGGAGGGGAGGGGGGAAGGGGGGAAGGAAGGAAGGAAGGAAAGGCAAAATTAGAGATGCACAAATGAATGAGGAAGGCCCGGAAGCTGAGACAGAACAGAGCAGCCCGGCCTCTTTCCAGCCAGCTCTGAAAGCTGGGCTGTGACTACACAGCTCCTGCCTGAGCCTGAAGCCTCAGCACCCACACCTGGGCGGTGCCTCCTAGCCCCTGGGGAAGGGCGGAGGCTGCTCTCCGTTCCCTGGCATGTCACCCAGGCACAAAGAGCCGGAAAGAAAAGCTGCCGGGAGAGAGGCGCCACAGGCAGCAGCTTATCCGCAGGCTGCGTCCCCTGCAAGGTGACAGCGAGGGTCATGCAGCCGCTGCCCTCCTGGTTGAGCTGTCCTGGGTCGCACACACCACAGCAGGCTGGCAGGGCCACATCCACATTGCCAGGGCACAAGGAACCTGCCACTGGCAAATGGCTCACTGGGTGACAGGGTTCCGGAGGGAGCAGCTCGGAGCGTCAGGAGGGCTCATGCTGGGGACCAGGCCTTGCCCGGGGCAGGAGGGCAGAGGGGCCTCACTGAGGCCCAGGCCTGCTGGCTCAGCCGTTCACGCACTAAGGATCCAGAATCCACCACCCCAGCTCTCAGCAGGGAGCAGGGGAGGGGCACTGTGATGCCAGCAGCCAAGGGTGGGGCAGGGGCCTGCCTCTTCCCTGAAGAACAAACCACATCCAGACCCCGTGGTGAGGCTGGGCGGCACGCGCCTCCCACACAGGTAGGTACAGCTCAGGAGAGCAGCCGCACTCACACCAGGCCCCGGCCCTCCTGGGGAGGATGCACGAGGCAGCTCCCACCCCGAGGGGACAAGCTCCAGGGATGTGTGTCCCAGGGGCCTGCATGTGTGGGTCCCACACCCTCAACACGCCTGACAGCAGGCCTGAGCCATCCCCACGGGCCACCCTCTGTGGGACGGAGTAAGGGGCAGGGTAGGGTGTGCAGCATTAGGTGGGCGTCAGGGAAAGGTCCACTCCGGAGGGGAGACGGGAGCCCCCGTTAGAGGCATGGGAAGAGCATGGTAGGTGCTCAGGCGCCTTGGCTGAGCACAGCAGGGTTTCTGCAGGACGGAGGCTGTGGCAGAACAGGGAGCTGCGGGGACCCCCAGTGGGACCTGGCAGGAGCTATGGCCAGTGTGGGAGGAGGGGCACTCGAGGGAGCTCGGCATCAGCAGTCACCAGGATCCTCACAAGGGTGGGCCTGGGTGCCCCCGAAACGTCCCCCACAGCCCCCGCCAGCCTCACGAACTCACGCCCTGGGAACGGGGTACCTGCATGGAGCCCCAGCTGAAGCCCCAGCTCCTGGCCTCTGCAGGGTCAGGAGCCACCATGGCCTACAGGTCCGGCTCATATCCCTCCACCTTTGGACCCGGGTCAGCCCCACAGCTCAGACAAGGCCACCCCTCCCGGACACTCACCTGCGGGCTTGGCGCCGGCTGCTAGCCTCGAGCCCCAGCAGCTCGGGCAGGGCGTCCCTGAGCGGGTGCAGGTCCCCCACCACCACCGTGGCCCTCCGCCTCCGCTCCTCCCTGTGCTTCTGCTCAGCCAGTTTTATGGCTTCGATTTCTAAGGAAGGAGAAACGACGTTAGAGGCAAACAAGAGGCGGAGGAGGAGCCCAGGCCCAGAGCCCCTGGCCCACGAGAGACCTGGCGGGGTGCCCAGCCCTGCTGCTTCTCTCCTTCCCGCTGTCGCCCCCATTCCGCCCCGGGAACCTGCGGGGTGGGCAGGCTTGAGTTATTTTTTTTCCCCTTAATGACAGAGCTGTGCTTTTTAATCACAGGGCTGACAATGAGGTGGAGTTGCAGCCACTGAGGATTTCTCCTGCAAAGGGATGCTGGCAGCCAAGGCCGGAGCACGCATGGCGGAGTGCACACAGCTACCGAGCAGAAGGGAAAATGAGGAAAGGGGTCCTCAACTTAAGATGGCAAGTCACAGCCTGGGAGGCTCAGCTTTGTTCCCAGGAGGAAGAGGGCTCCCCAGAGGGAAGGGGAGGAGCCCCAGGACAGACCTGAGGGCTTGGGGCCATGGGGGGTGGTAGGCAGGGCTGAGGCCTCCACACTACAGAAGGGATTTGGGCAGGGCCTGGAGAGAAGGGGCATGGCCTTGGGATTTGATTTAATTTAAAAATTTATTTATTTCAAAATTGCTAAGAGAACACATGCTCGGACATGCTGCTCGCTGCATGTGGCTCCTGGAGGCTGTGGAGCGCGGACAAAGCCTGCTCTCTTCAGGGCAACCCAGTGGGACAGGCCTGCAGCTCAAACACTGCCAGCTCGTGACACAGGCCCAGGCATGACAGCACCTGTGCCCCCGGGGAGGAGTGCCCAGGTTTCCAGAGATGCCAACAGCCAGCTCTTCTCCAATCCCGCTGTCTGGGACGGCGGTGCCCCCTCTCAGCCCCCAGGGCAGGTGACTCACGGAGCAAGGACTGAAGGGCCCACCCTGACCAACCCAAAGTCAGGGATGCCAACCTGCCCTGGGTCACTGTAGCAGGGAGTGTTTACCTGGCTCCAAATCACTGACAAGAACCTGGGACAAAGACCACCCTTCCTCTGGGTCCTCAGCCCCCAGTGCAGCTTGAGAGCTTGGAAGGTGTACACCAGCTCTCCACAGCCTCGGGAATCATAAAGTAAGAATCCAGCACTTCTCAATCCTGCCGGGACTGTGGTAGACACGTTACACGGCACCTCATCCAAAAGAGAGCTAGGGCACCCTGGAAAACTGGGGTAGGGAGGGGCGGGCCAGGCCAGGTGGCTCCTTCACAGGCTGCAGACCCAGGCCAGGGAAAGCAAAGCAGATGCGTGTGGCTCCCATGAGGACAGACACAAAGGCCTGCACCTCTGCAAGTCAAAGCCAGAAGCCTTTCAAAAGAATGATACTTGTGCCCAAGCAGGGTGAGCCTCAGGCATGCAAGGATGGTTCTCCCGGGAAATGCCTCAGGGTGACCCTCCACAGTGGCCACTCAAGAGGCGAGAAAGCCTATGGTCACCACCACCAGTGTCCAGAGGATTCTGCACAATTCACTGCCGACGAATGAGAAAAATTACAACGAAACCACAAACGGAAGGAAGCTCCTTGACAGAGATGAGCTGCTAGAAACCCACAGTGAGTATCGCATTTCAGGGCAAAACATTAGACACTCAATGATAAATCAGAGCAAGGAAAAGACGACCACAATATCGACAGTCCCACCTGGCCCACTCCATTCTGAGAGGGGAGGGAGGGAGCGAGGCAGTGGCGGGCAGGACCCACGCCCTGGGAACACTCAGTACTGCTCTCATCTGCGGCACCTGGGGGAGGGGAGGCACCACACAAACACCAGCTTCCACGCAGCCAGGAGAACCCACGGGAGAGTGCAGTTCTTCTCTGTCAGTTACTCCAGAAAAATCTGATGCTGCCTCAATTAAAATTTCAACAGGATTTTTAGTCAAAACTGTGCAGCTAATTCTAAATTTTATTTTTAAAAAACAATTAAATGCATAAGAATAGTAAAGACATTTTTTTAAAAGAACAAGCAATAAGAAAGTAGGACTATCGGATATTAAAGCAAAGGATGCCGCCCAGGAGGACAACCAAGGGTTGGGAAAGTCAAATGGGACATGTGTGTGATTCCAACTACCCACCCTCCCGCCCACGGGACGTGGGGAGCCACTGCCTGCGGCATGGTTGGGGCACAGGCTGTGTGGTGGAGCATGGAGGCACTACCCGGGCACCGGGTAGGTGTGTGGACAAGACAAAACAAAGCAAAGGACAGAGAGTGACTAGGGGAGGTCTCCAGGAATGGGAGGGCCCTGCAAGGGGGAGGAACAGCAAGGACAGTTTGCGAGCTTGTCCTCACAAAGACAAGGCGGGGTGGCACATGCAGATCCACAGCAAAAATTTCAACATATGTTGGGGGAAAAAAAGCAAATTGAATGAAAAAATCCACACATACAGAAACTATGCATTTCTAAAGATCCTAAGGAATCTACCAAATGACTACCAGACCTAATCATGATATTAGTAAATTCATAGGATACAAAATCAATATTTTAAAAAAACAATTGTGTTTTAATATACTAGCAGACAGCTGACAAAAAACTGCATTTATGATAGCATAAAAAACTATAAAAATACTTAGCAATAAGCTTATTACAAGATGTAAGACCTCTACACTACAACTATGTAACACTGATGATGAAAATTAAACAGAGAGATACACCACGTTCACGAACCTGAAGATTTGCTTTGCTAAGATGGTAATTCTGAACTGATCTATACATTCAATGAAATCCCAATCACAGCCCCATTAGGTTTCTGTTTTTAAAGAAATAGACAAGCTAATAATAATTTATATGGAAATGCCAAGGACCTAGAATATCCAAAGCAACCTTAAAGACAGACAAACCAACAAAAAGGACTTGTGTTATCTGACTTCCAGACTAACGCTAAAGCTCTAGTAATCAAGACAGTCTGGTATTTGCTAAGGTACAACAAACAGATCAATGGAACAGAAGACAGCCTAGAAACAGATCCACACTCAGGAGACTTCTTGATTTTTCAAAAAGGCACCAAAACAATCCAATAAGGAAACAAAGTATTTATAACAAATGGTGCTGGAACAACTGAATATCCACATTAGGGGAGAAAAAGGAACTTAACCACTAACATCACACAGACGAACAATTCAAGATAGGAAAAAAAAAAAAAAAAACCCTAAATATGAAAGTTCAAAGTATAAAGTTTTAAAAGAGGAATAATATCTTCATGGCTTGGGATTAGCCAAAGTTTTCTCAAATAGGACACATATACACATACATACATACACACACAATAACTAATAAAAATTAAACTTCTCAAAATTAAACCCCCGTTTATTAAAAAAAAAAGTTCTCACGCCTGTAATCCCAGCACTAAGGGAGGCTGAGGTGGGCAGATCACGAGGTCAAGAGATCAAGATCATCCTGGCTGATACGGTGAAACCCCATCTCTACTAAAAATACAAAAAAAAAAGCCAGGCGTGGTGGCGTGTGCCTGTAGTCCCAGCTACTCAGGAGGCTGAGGCAGGAGAATCTCTTGAACCCGGGAGGCAGAGGCAGCAGTGAGCTGAGATCGCACCACTGCACTCCAGCCTGGCGACAGAGTATGACTCTGTCTTAAAAAAAAAAAAAAGTTAAGAAAATGAACAGGCAAGTCAGAGTCTGGGAGAAAACATCTGTAAAACACATACCCAACCAAAGACTGGACCCTAGCACAAAGAATTCTTAGAGCTCAATAATAAAAAGGCAAAAAGCCTCATGAAAAATGAATTTCACTGATGCTTAAACACAAACGGGCAGTAAAGCACATGAAAATGCTCTTTTGGTGGCAATGAAAATGAGCACCACCGTGAGACACCATTTCACGGTCACCAGACGACCAAGGCTGAGGAGACAGCGCGCCACGCACCACCGTGAGACACCATTTCATGGTCACCAGATGGCCAAGGCTGAGGAGACGGCGCACCACGCACCACCGTGAGACACCATTTCACGGTCACCAGACGGCCAAGGCTGAGGGAGAGAAGGCAAGCGGGCGCGCCACGCACCACCGTGAGATACCATTCCACGGTCACCCAGGCGGCCAAGGCTGAGGAGGCGCGCCCACGCACCACCGTGAGACACCATTTCCACGAGGTCACCAGGCGTGGCAGCTGGCGGGGAGACGGCGGGCGCGCCACGCCGCACCACCGTGAGATACCATTTCCACGGTCACCAGGCAACCAAGGCTGAGAGAAGCAGCATACGCACCACCGGCGTGAGACACCATTTCCACGGTCACCAGGCAATGACCAAGGCTGAGAGGCGGCGGCGCGCCACGCCACCGTGAGATACAACCTCACGATCACCCAGGCGGCCAAGGCTGAGGAGGCGCGCCACGCACCACCGTGAGATACTGTTTCACGGTCACCCAGCTGACAGGCTGAGGAGGGCGCGCCATGCCACCGTGAGATACCATTTCACACGGTCACCCAGGCGGCCAAGGCTGAGGAAGGGCGCGCCACGTGTTGGCAAAGCTGCAGGGCACGGACTCTCACAGGCTTCTGGTGCACCGTGAGATACCATTTCACGGTCACCAGACGGCCAAGGCTGAGGAAGGGCGCGCCACGTGTTGGCAAAGCTGCAGGGCACGGACTCTCACAGGCTTCTGGTGGGAGCGTGAACGTACAACCGCTCTAGAAAAGCGTCTGGCAGCTGCTTATAAAACTAAACATACACCTACCCTATGACCCAGCATTCCATTCCTCAGCATTTACCCAAGAGAAACGAAAACATGTCCACAAAAAGACTTGTGAAGAATGTTCAGAGCAGCCTTATTCATAGTAGCTAAAAATGGAAAAAAGCCCAGGTGCCCATCAGTAGGGAAGTGAATAACCAATGGTGTATTCACACAATGAAATACTTCTCAGCAATCAAAAGGCATGGACTGCTGCTACACGCAGCCTGGATGCCTTTCAAAACCATTACGCTGAGCAAAAGCAGCCAGACCCAGAAAGAGTGCATCCTACATGACTCCACTTATATGACGTCTAAGGCAAGAAAAACTCAACTGTGGCCGAGAAAGGATGACACAGTGGCTATTACCTCTGGGGCAGGCGGAAGAGGTAGCCGACTGGGGGGGCGCGGACTGCCAGGGAGCAGCGGTGATGGCCCGTACCCTGAACGGGATTTCAGCTGCACAGCCGTCTGCGCCATTTGTCAGAGATCACTGAATGGCACGCTTAAGATCTGCGTTTCATTTTATGTAAATACAATCTTCAAAAGAAAAAGAAAAAAAGCACCATAAATTCTAGCAGAATTATTTGGGGTGGAGTGTACTGATGTCTGCAATTTACTTTGAAATGCATTTTAAAAACCCATGTTGGTACATGGACAGAAACTGCTAGACGAACAGTTATGTAATAAAGATTGTAAAATCTGTATGGTGGGTACAGGGTATTCACTATAAAATTCTTCCCACTTTCCTCAATAAAATTTTTCATAATAAAATACAAAGTAAAAGTAACTTGGGAAATGTAGCTAAAACTGTATTTAGAGACAACTTTTTGTTCATTCCTGAACAAAACATACAAACAGATGAGCAGAGCAACTGAAACCCAAAAAAAGCTAGAATGGGAGAATGATCAAAATAAAAACAAGTAATTTGGAAGACAAAAGAGTAGAACTGACCATGAAACATTAATTATTAAATGGAAGAGACAAAACTTCTTAATCAGAAATGAAAGGGGGATACAAATAAAGAACGATAAAGAAAATAGAATATTTAATAAGAAAGCAACACATAAAGACTGAGCTCTGACTAAATTTGATTATTAATATTACTTAGAGACAGGGACCCACTCTGCCGCCCAGGCTGGAGTGCACTAGTGCAATTATGGCTCCCTGCAGCCTCAAACTCCTGGGCTCAAGCGATCCTCTCACCTCAGCCTCCTAAGTCACTAGGACTAGAGGCTCAGAGGCACGCACCACCTAATCTGGCTAATTTTTACATTTTCTGTAGAGACAAGGTCTCGCTATGTTGCCCAGGCTAGTCTGAAACTCCTGGGCATAGGTGATCCTTCCACCTCAACCTCCCAAGGTGCTGGGATTACAGGCATAAGGCACCATCCCCAGACAAATTCGATCATTTCATGAGTGGCCAAAATGGACTCAAGTCGTGAAAAAAGAAAAAAAAGGACCAAGAGCCGTGGAATAAAATTTACACATCATCAAAGAACTATGGCCTAGAAAATGAGGGTCCAAATGGTCACAGTCCAGGAGTCCATCCAAATCCACTTTCACAGCTATGCTAGGAACTGTGAAAAAGAAAATGGAAGAATGAATCATTTCCCTAAGAAATATCCAAAAAGGGACAGAAACCATAAAACTAATAATCACGAAATAAACTGACAAAGTTTTCTAGGTCCTACCTCTGAAAAACATAACCTCCAAAGAAAAAATAAAGCAGATCATACTTTAACATATAAGAACATAAAAAAAAATATTTCAAATTAATTTCACAAAGTCAGCAGAATCACACTAAAAAGATAACCAAAAAATACAAAATAATGTTGACAAGAAACAATCTTAGAACAACACTGGCAAATATCCAGCATCATGAAAAATAAGGAGATACTGCAAAACAACCTGAGTGGGAAGCGTGGCTTTCAGCCCTTGGAGACGCGCGGCTGCGAGCACGTGGCAAGGCTGACCTCCTACGTGGAGCCTCAGAAAAGAGGGAGCCACGGGCCCGAAAGGGTCTGGGGACCCCAGCAGCCCTGCCCACACCCACATCGCTATGCGCAGACACTGGTTTTCACCGCGGGCAAGGCCTGAAAGGATTTCACACACCACCACAGGCACCTCTGAACCATGAAGACTCCACAAGCACAGGTTACTTCCATAACAAAAAATTTCACAGTGGGGAACAAAAATAGGTAATTTTTACAAACAAGGAGCCGAGAGCAGCAGCTTCCCAAGGCCGTCCTCCAAAGGGAGGCAGCCTAGCTCTGCAGGTACCCACAGGGATGGGGTGACAGTGCCACCTGTAACAGGCCAGACCGGCTTGGCTGTGCTGCCCAGTCTCCACGGCATCCTCTCTGTGCCTCCACTGTCCTTTGGCCCCCACAGCCGCCTCTAAAGGGTCTTGGGAGATCCCCTTGGGCACCCTGCAGGGAGTGTGGCTGGTGTAGAAGGCCAGACCGTGCGGCTGTGGGAACAGGAGGGCCCATGGGATGGGACCTGGGCTGGCAGCTGCCTCGAGATGCAGGCATGGACTTACTCTGCAACCATTGCTCACGCCTTAGCTTCATTTTCTCCTTCTTGGGCAAAACGGTCTTGGCCTCTGCACCTGAGGAAAGAGAACATGGGAGTGAGAAAACGTGTCCAGGTGCACTCCCATGACCTGAGAATGGGCTGGGGAAGGTTCTGACGCTGGAAGTACCACAGTCACTGCAACTGGTCTGGCCTGTGCCGGCCTCTCAGGCTCCAGAGCTCTCGGCAGCACCAGGGGCACCTGCAGCCTCAACCCGGCCTTGGGAGGCTCTCTCAGCAGCGGCCCCCCGCAGCGATGGCCTGGCCACTTACTCCTGACCTGCCCCGGAAAGCAGGTGTCTCAACACGGAGGCCTCCTCCCCACCCATGCCCCGAATGACTGTCAGGGCAGGCCACAGCAACGCCATGCAGGAACACCCAACGGCTCATGAAGGGGGCCACGAACAGGGCAGAGGCCCCTACGGGGACATCCCCAAGATCCTGCACGGTCACGTGAGGCCCAGCGATGTACCTGCTCCCTGGCCCCTGCCAGGCCCAATGATGTGCTCAGTGGACCAGAGGCTCCATCCCTGGACCCCACAAAGCGGCCCTCTCAGGGAGTCCCCAAAAATGAACTCCACAGGTGCCCCTGTGCTTGGTCCACACGGATCTCAGGCACTTGCCCGGCAGGCGGGGAAAGGAGCCTCATTTGCTTGGGGAACGGGGCAGGGGCGGGACGAGCCTGCCGGGCCATGCAGGTGGGGACAGCTGGAGAGGGCTCTGGCCGCTGCGTCTCTGACTCTAGTCTGCTCTAAAATAGAGGGGACTCAAGGGCATCCCCGTTTCCTCGGCCAGAACTGATTTCCAAGACGGTTCAGCCTCCGCCGCGTTCTCCCCAGAACACATCTCCCAATTTCTCTTCTAATGCATGCAGACCTTCCTGGCTTGTCCAACAAATCCACCACGTCGAAGGAAAAACAAAGCAGAAGCAAGCCCTGCCTGGAGAAAGGCAGTCACTGCGCTCAGCATTTCAGACTTCACTTTGGGAGCTGGTGTGAAACCTCCAAGGCCCAGGGCTCCTTCCTGCAGGATCTGATCCCCTCCCACAGCTTCCCGGTGTGCCTGGGCTGACCTACTTTCCTCCACTGCATCCCCGACCTCTCACTCCCGAGCACAAAGGGGAGGGGCTGATTCTGCAGCTTTTCTGTAGTTCTGAAATTGTTTCAAAAGAAAAATGAATCTAAGACCAGTGGAAACTGACCCGGACAGTGACCTGTGTTGTGTCGGAATGAAGAAAACGAGGCCCGGGCGCAGGCCGGGTCGGGAACGCGGCATAGTGACCCTTCCCAGCTCTGGCCCCAGGGAGCTCCCCAGCCCCATTGCCATGGCACCAGGAAAACAGGAACCAAACACGCCACTCCTGCAGGAGGAGAGGGCCTGGAATGCTGCAGCCGGAGGAGAGGCTGCCTGGAACTGCTGGCGGCGGCCCCACGACCCCCAGCTCCCCCTGCTTTCTGGGCCCAAGGCGCCCTTGCTGAAGTGCCCTGGCACAGGTTCATGCCTCCTCCCCTTCCAGCCTCTGGATGGGCTGACGGGTGTTCATGAGCTACCGAGGGGGCTCGCCCTGTGAGTCCCGCTTCTCTCTCCTCCGTGGGCCCAGGGCCACAAGGACAGGGCAGGTGGGTGCACCCTCACCTGCGAAGGGGACAGTGTGAAGTCAGCTCGAGCTGCTCCGGTTTCTAAATTTACCCACGACAAGGCCAGCACACCACAGCTCCCACAGGTCTGCAGAAGCACAGGAGTGTCCTGTGGGTACAGCAGAAATGCCAGCTCGGAGGAGGGCCGGGCTGGGAGTGCAGATGCTGGGTCTCAAGCAAGGGTGTCTGGAGCCGCCGCTGTCCTGGACCTCACCCCCAAACCCAGATCCCAGCAGCGCCAGCACTACAGCCCCAGTGGCTATGCGGAGGGGAAGATCACCAAACACGTCTGATTAGTGACAAAATGACAGTAGCAGGGGACACCCCTGAGGCACGTCAACCCAGCCTGAGCTTCTCACATGGGGCCTGGCAGTCTGAGCGGGCACCAGGAATACCAAGGCAGAGCTGACGGTAAAACGCGACTTCACAGAATCGACCGGCCAGCCGAGCTGAGGCTGCAGAACGGTGCACCCTTGGAAGGGCTGTGACCTCGGCTTCCCGCTCTGGGCAGAGAGGCTTCTTCCTCCGCGCCCTGTGCCCTGTCTGCTTCACACACTAGGCCGCCTGCTGCACGGGCGGCTCAGACACTGCCACTCCTTCTGGCCCGCTCAGTCCATGACTCAAAGGCGTCAGGGGAGACGAGCAAGTCCCCATTAAACTGAACCTCAAAGAACCCCAGCCAGTGGCTGAGGTGCTCAAACCCTCATTCCCCTCAAAGCCGAGATGGGATCCCTCCAAGACAGAGCCCAGGCCTCCCTGTGGGGAAATATGCTGCAGGTGCCATCCACTCCCCCTCACACTCGGCGGAACCCTCTGGGGCCACCTGTTGCTACTGGCAGTGAACAAGCCCAAAGGGTAAAAGACAAGGCCTCAGGGCATGGGGTGGCTCCTGCGATCTGGGTCCTGGGGCCACCCAGTGGTACCCAGGGTGCTCCTGGCTGCCACAGCACCTGTACCTGAGCTGGACTGCAAGGCACAGGGCAGATGGATGGTGGAGATGAAGAGAAGGATGAGAAGTCATGCCCTCGCCTGAGTCTTCAGGAGCCCAGGATGCAGCTGCCACGGAGTCGACCTGCAAAGAGGCGCCCGGCTCACACGCAGCGTGTGGGGACGGACTGTGTGGGACAGCCCCTCCAGTCCAGTGGGAGGCACTCTGAGGAGGACTCGAGGGCCATTCGAGGAATAGCCTCTCTAACCCTTGACTCTGGAAGATCCCGCCTCAGCCCTGCCCTCGGGGAGTGACTAGAAACCAGCCCTGAGCTGACTCGCCACGGAGCCCTGGGGGTAGCTTTGGTCCCCGGAGCGCCGGCCAGCCCGGCAGAATGAGCTGAATGGCTCCGCAAAGAGAGAGGGATGGGCACACTCTCAGGCACAGGCTGCCTAAAACCCCTGACAAGAAAAGGGAAGGTGAGGTGCTGCCATATAGGAGCCAGGACACGTGCTCTGGAAGTGCAATTCTGGGGACCCTGGGCAAGCCACCCGCCCCGCCAGAACCACGGCTTCTCAGCCGCCACGGTGCTGCCTGGGCTCTCTCATCTAAAAAAGGGGTCCCGGGAACAGATGCAGTAAACCAGGCACAGGGGAGGACGCCACATGTGGCAGCCACACAGCAAGCCTGTGCTGCAGGCAGCTCACCTGGTTCCCAGCCCTCACCAGGTCAGCAGACACAGAACCAGGCTCACCAGAGTTGGGCTGTAGGGTGACGCAGTTCATGGGGCACGTGTTCTGACGGACCCTAAGGAAAATCAGCATGACACTGGCTTTTCCATGCACGCCATCAACAAGCCATGGTTCTCACCCCACAAAGATCTGCATGAGGCTCAGGCACAGAACACAAGACGCGATGCTGCTGGCATGTGCTGCTTCATCTCGGGCTCGGGTGCCGGGAGATGCTGTGGCCTACAGAGCCGCTCAGATGCTGCCACCACCACCCAGGTCACGAGATGAAGCAGCACGTGCCAGCAGCATCTCTTGGTGCTGAGGTTCTCCTCACCACACCTCCTGGGTGAATGCAAACTGAAATGCACTGCGGGACAGGCCGTTTGGGGAAAAATGAAGTGGGAATCATCCGTCTCACTCTATACACAAAAATAAAGTCCTGATGGACTAAATACATTAAAAAGGCACTACAAAAGCACTGCAGAGAACACAAAGGGGCCACAAAACACACAGAAAACACAGAATTTGCTACAGAGAAACTTTAAACCTCCGTAGAGAAAAAAATAACATGAACAAATTCAAAAGAACTACCAACGAGGGGGAGATGTCTGCAGTTAACAAAAGAGATTGCTTCCTTCCTACACAGCTTTCTCAAACCAATAAACAGCCGAAAAGAAAAACAGGAAAAGGCACATACAGACAGCTCACAGCAATGAAGGCTGAATGGAGCCTTGCTGACGAAGAGCCGCACATTCCACGAAGCAGGCACCGCCGGCTGGGTCCGCATCGGCAGACACCTCGTCCATATCCTCCACAGGTACCGGCTGCAGGTGGAGGCCGACTTGGGTGCTGCTCCCGGCAGTGTCTGCAGTAGGCAGCCTGGCAACTCCTGTCAAGTGTCAGATGTTCATCAAGCTGGATCAGCAACTCCACCGCTGCGGCCTGATCTACAAATGTCTTGACTCACATTCACAAGGACGGCCCACACTCCCTACAGAGCTGGGTGCGCCGGACAACAAAACCTCAGCAGCCGTGACGTGAGGCTGCCCCAGAACACAGCCCAGGGAAGCAGCAGGGGCAGACACACACCCACTTGTAAAAACACAGGGGGCTGGGAGCAGCAGCGTGTGCCTGTGGTCCCAGCTGCTCCGGAGGCCGAAGTGGTGGGGACGACTGCCTGAGCCCAGGAGGTCAAAGCAGTAGTGAGCCCAGATTGCACCACAGAGCAAGACACTGACCCCCGTCTCTGAAAAGAAAAAAAAAAAAGGAGAGGAGCAGATAGACCAAGACGTCTGCAGCGGGGAGGCTGTCACTCAATGGTAGCGTGCATTGAGTTTTTCACAATATCTATCATTTGCCACTTTGCACAACTCCACGAAGAGGCGGTGCTGCCGGAATACGCTGGAGAAAGCACAGCTTTCCCTGGGAGCACTGGTGGGCGAGTATCCAAGGGAGTGCATGCACCCAGCACCGCGGCAGCGGGGAGAAGCGGCAGGAGCACAGGGGACCGGGAGTGGGGCAGTGGGAGGGCCGGGTTCCCCTGCCTCTCTGTTTTCTAGCTTTCTTCCTTTTTTTTTTTTTTGAGACAAAGTCTCACTCTGTCGCCCAGGCTGGAGGGCAGTGGCACAATCTTGCAATCTCCGCCTCCCAGGTTCAAGCCATTCTCCTGCCTCACCCTCCGGAGCAGCTGGAATTACAGGCATGCACCACCACACCAAGATAATTTTTGTATTTTTACTAG